AATGCGTGAAAAAAGACTGCAAAATGTTAGATATCCCTTGTATTGTAAGAGCACTTGAGTTCTCTGCCTGGGGAAGCGAGTTATTCAGATTAATAAATGTGTTGAATAAATAAATAAAACTCTGAAACTAATTAAGTTGTCAAGTGGTACACCCTTAAAATAGCTGCCAGTTTGAAAATTGCAGGCAGCTTGTTGCTGCATGAGATTAGCTCTGTTTTAATGTGCAGTATAATTTGGTTGAACTTGAGGATTGCCTTAGAATGCATGCCTGACGTACCAGACTTTGAAAACAGCCACATTTTTTTTTTTTTAGAATACCTATATTTCAAAACCGGTGGTGCAGGTATTCTAAACTTTGATTAGTGCAGTAGTAATATTTCATTCACTTTCCGAGTGGAATCGAACTTTATTGCTTACTCTTCCCTTCTGTATTACTGCAGCAAACAGAGCCACAATAATAGTTATGATCAATTTCCTGAGAAGCCCTGATGTGCAGTATCAGATATTCCCATGAAACAGATATTAGCTGTGTAGTGCAAGAAAAGCAGAATTTATTTTTTAGTTCAGCGTCGGGGTTATGCAGACAGATGTGTAGTTTCACGTGTTTTACCCCAGCCTCTGCAGTGAAACAGGGAAGGAAAAGGATGTCCATGGTTCTGAACTCAATAGATTTATATCAGCTCTGAAATGAAGCACATGAGTTTTGTTGACAGCTTTGTATCACTTGGTTATATTTTAAAGAAGGCATTCACATATTCCACTTGTGCTTTTGATCACTTTTTTTCCCAATAACCCAGACCTATAGAGTAAAACTGGGAGCTTCACATAAAGTTGCCTTGCTGGGCCTACGCAACTTGTGAACCAACCATTCTGGTTTGAAAATCGTCATTTAGCCCCCAAAGCTGATCTCGTGTTGAAATACTGCATTACTTGCATATTATAGTTATTAAAAAAATAGAGATTCTTTGCCAGACATTCTATCAGATGTTGGTCCTTGGGACGGTTCTCTCTTGAAGATCTGAGCACATGAATTGCTTGAACTTGATGGCCTGACACAAGAAGAGGTGGACAACTTACTGTCCAAATCATCTGAGGGCAGGACAAGAAGTAACTGATGGAAACTTATCAAAGAGAGATCCAGCCTAGAACTAGGGAGGAATTTCCTAAGTGTGAGGACTTAATCAGTGCAATCAATGCAAATTTTGAGGGATTTGTTGTTTTCCACATGATGTGGTTGTGATCTGGACCAATCATTTATTTGTAGCCAGGATGAATTGAGTCTTGCAAGGGAAGACCACAACAGCCAAAGATGACAGAAACCAACCCAGCAGATAAAGTTGATATCAGTTTGGGGGAGATGACCTAAACTCCAGGATTCTCATATTTATGTCAGCATCTTCAGAAAGACTTTCACGACAACACATTTATATTCTTAAACAATGATTCTGTAGTCTTAACATCATAATGTTGTTAGCTGAGGGAATGTTCTCCTTGACTATCCCGAGCTGGTGAGTCAACTTGGGATAGTCCATGTAGTATTGTGATTGTCCATGTAGTCCCCCTTTCTTCCATAACTTCCCCCATGTAGGATCTCTGTCTTCCATAATTCAGCTGCTACTACAATGGAAGTCAATATTTACCACGAAAGGTGAAAGCTTCAGATGATGGGGATTGCCAGCAACATCTCTGTACACTGTTCAACTGCCAGGCTGAGAAAAAAAATGAAATATATTTTTGTTTTGGATTCTTGGAAGCTTCCCAATTTCTTATAGCAAGAAAACAGTTTTAATAGTTAAACAGCTTGCATGCAAATAATAGCTATGGGCTCAGTTCCTATAGGACATGTCTACAGTTTGTGCTTCTGCCAATTAAAAAAACACATTCCTTCATAGCCTAATATTTCATATGTGGGCTTCCAAGTGGAAGAGAGCAGCTGTCTAGCAGCCAAGTCCAAATTAGATTTGTTGATGCCATGTTGTTTGCTAAGTAACCGTGTCTCTCAGTTATGTTTAGGCTCAAGGGAACTATGGCAAAAAAACAGATATTACAATTGTTTCTAATATTCCTAGCTCGCTCTTTGAGGATGTTGCTTTCCAGCTTTGTGGAAGTCAATAATATTGACCTTCTTCTCAGGACATGTGATCCATTCACCATGACTTCCCTTAACCCCTTCTTTTAACTGGGGTTTTGAAGGCCTCCTTGAACAAATCGGTTATTGTCGGTCCTTTAGTTTGATTTGAAACCAGAAGTGATGACGACTTCAAAACCCTCAACTCAGAACAATCTTGGTAGTAACAGTGGTTACGCAGGTCCAAACAGAACTTAAGGTGGTGTTGATGTGACCAAGGGAAGGGAGGGGAAGACCCAGGAGATCTGGAAGTTGTTCGTAATTGCTGCATTAATTTGGAGAACCGTTTGAGGCTTAATTGCAGGAAGTGTCTCTTATTACGTCTGTGGTGCGTCTTAAACTGCTTTATTTTTTTTTAAAGCATTATAGATTTGCTGTTTTGCAAGATCATTGCTTTATGCATACCAAAACAATTGTATACTTCCTCCAAAACGTCTTGAGTTTTGAAGAACCTAAAAAAAAAAAAATCCAGTTGGGTGGGAAAGTGTTTTATATCATTCCTTGTAGTTGAAGTATTAGAATACTTAACATATTCGCTTAGGATCAGCCCTTCCTCCTAACCTGGCCACTTCCAAATCTCTTGGGACTCTGGCTCCTACACTTCCCTATCTGCTTTGACTTATTGGGTCCTCCAGAACTTCTAAGAAGTTTATTTCTCTGGAGTAGAAAACGTCCAGCTCAGGAAAGGTGTAATATTTCCATATTACGGCCTGTCAAGAGTTATGCATACTTTTATTGTAGAATACCTGGCCACTTGTACGTTATCGTAGCTTTTTTAGAAGCAGGTTCTCCAAGTTAACTTACATGATGAATTTGAAACAAAATTTAAGCTACGTTTGGCTTTTTTTTTTTTATTTTATTTGAGCACCGAAATCTGCCCACGATTTTGGAAGTGTTAATTAAATTTGAGCTTTATAGTTTGGACAGATCCACACGCTCTTGTGTATATTGGTGGGCTTTCCTAGCAAAGGCACTTTGTTCCACTCCCATCCCGTTTGGAAAGCTGCATTTTCCCATTGTTAAAATTGTGGTTGGGTGGAAGATAATGGATTATACTGAAGCAGAGTTTGAAAGATGCTATTAGCTGTATTGTTTCACCAGTATTAGGACAGATGTGAAGGAGGACCTCTTTTTTCCCCATTGTGATGCCTGCACCAGAAATTCTTCTCTAATGAACACCTCCGTTTCTGAGACCAAATTAGAACAACAGGGAGTGATGTTGTTTTCTTAATCATGGGTTTTGCAGCCTGCTTGGCATGTTGGTTAAAGCATCACTGAGATCTTTCAGATTATTCAAATATCTAGTCTTGCTTTCATATCGAAGATAAATATTGGCCTTCATTTCACTTCAATTCTTTTTTTTTTTGACTAGGGGTCTACACTCCCCTTAAAATTATTTTTTCCCTAGTTCCAGTGCAAAACAAACCCTTTTAAGTTGCCAACTGTTCTGTGCAGCTTCTATTTTTCTCTTTGCATGTAGCCTCATTTGCATTTATTTCTATTGGGTCCATTTACATGTGACACATTCCATTTATTTTGCCCTTATTTATTGAATATACCATAATGGTTGTCGTCACATATGCCAAGCCAAAAATCTAGGTTTGATGCTAAGCCCAAATCATGCCAAGGGACTTCAAACTTTGTGACACTGTAACCACCTAAAATGATCAGCAAGTTTGTGTAACTGCTCAGTGACTAAAACTAAGAAAACCAATGTAATTGATGGGTGATTTGGGCAGCTGGCTAGTTTTGTAAATTTATTCTTCTCTCAAAACTAACTTTGGGAGTGAATTCTGACAGTATTCCCTATTTGTCTGGGCAAATCTGATCAGCGGTAACAAAAATCTTGTGAGCCCTTTCTAAAATGCCCATGGCCCCTCGCAAAGTCATGACCCACACTTTAAGAACCCCTGAATTCACAAAAGACAGTTCAATCACATCCAGGGCTTGACACTTCCTTGAAGACTGTTCACAAGTTCAAACCAGACAGAAAATGCCTTATGAACTTTTCTCAGCTTTAAAGTAAAGGGAGCTTGCCCATAGTTCACGCCTTTAAAATCCTAAACAGAAACCAATTTCCAAAATACAGATTTGTGATCCATACGTGTTCGACAGCGTTTTGGTGAGATCTTCCACGTCTTTCCAAGAGGACTAGTGGAAAAAATCTGAATCTGGCAAGATGGGACTGTCTCTTTAAAATCTGAAAGCTGAGACAGCGCCCTGTCTGTTTTTCCAAGGGCACTAAACAAAAGTTGTAAAGAAAACAACTTGGCCTTTCAAAAAAAAAAACACCATCCCTTTCTTTTGACACAACTCTCTTGATTGGTACAGTTCTTGATGGGGAAAAATAAATCTCAGTAATGTTATGTTTGGATAAATTTTGGGATTTTTTTTTTTTTTAGAAAAGAGTATGTATTTTTGGAAGCAATGACAACTTGAGGAATTTCAGAACACCACTGTCTAGTAATCGTAAATGCAAAATATAGCCAGGATTGTAGCACGGTTTGCTGTTATTCTATAATAGGGTGGATAGGGAAGGGACGTCGTATGTGTGAAGGGAGAGGGGGAGGGAGGAAAAAGAAAGAAAGAAAGAAAGATAGATAGATGAGAGAAGATGAGAGAAGAATGAAGGGAGAAGGAGAAAGAAGAAAGAAAGAAAAATAAGGATGTTTGGGTTCTTGTGAGTGCTGATAAGGAATATCTAACATTGGCAGTCGCATAAAACAGGCACGCTGTTTTCAGATACAGTGTCATGTGTGCATGGGGTGCATTTTCTTCCTTCCACTTTCCCCAAACACCCATCTATTCCACGAACAAGGCTGGAGAAATCGAGAGCTTTTTTCCCCCCCCTTTGTCTCTTTGAACTGTTATAGCATTTGGGTTTTCGCCCTTTTTGCAGCATGATTTGAAATAGCAACTATGGATTTTTCACGGCTTCACCTGTATAACCCTCCCCAGTGCCTGCCAGAGAACACTGGCTATACTTACGCCCTCAGGTGAGAAAGCTGAACTATAAAGATCCTTGTTGTTCTGTGTCTTGTGGCGTTTGTGGTACATTTTAAAAACCCAGGCATGAAACTCCCAAACTCAGTCGCAAAGCCCCCGGTGTGCCTTCCGTAGAATTGAAGACCGCAATTGGGAATTTGTTTTTTACGTATATTTTTACAGCAGATTCTAGGGAAGCAGAAGCAATGATTAGGTGACTCAGACTTTTATTAGTCACCATAAAGCAAGAATATGACAACCACACCCAAATGCCATTGTTTGGGTTGTACATGCAGGAGGAAGGCATGCACAAACAGATAACAACCAGAGAGTGGGCATTGTATAAAACCAAAATAAAATAGTTATCCGTCTCTGGAGAGCAGCTGCATATATCAAGGAGTTACGGATTAAAAACCATTACCATTTGGGAACTATTTGTAACCATTAAAAATCCAAAAATTGCAATTCGCACTTGATGAACGGCCTGAAAGCTAAATTAGAGATCTTAAGAATCTATCTCTTGGTTGCCAAAAAGATATGTTGGAAGGTTTTTTTTATGGCTTTTAAGTTTTTAATTGTACAGCACCAGAAAGTCACTGTGCGAATGAGATGGATGCTCTCTAAATTTGACAAATGATAGTATATTTGTAACAGTACAGTGCCTAACATCCTAGCTAGGAATCACAAGTGCTTTATTTATTTGTTTGCTTGCGTGTTTATTCATTTATTTTCACACTTGCAAGTCTGGGTGGTTCATCAGTCAACACAAACAAAATAAAATAATACCATGCTAAAAGCAAACCAAAGATGGTACAGAGACCAAACAGTTGGACAACCATGGTTTAAACTAAACAAAGGCAAAGGCCAAAATAAGCCGCCAGGAGGGATGAACCACAAAACTTGAAAATTAAACTTCCTTGGGGTAGTTATCAGCATTTGCCACTTCCCGTTTCTTCATTTTTGGGGGGGGGGCAGCTTTCATATTGCAGTAGCTAATATTAAATAATTTTAAATAAATACATGTACCTAGGTCTGTTTTGGGAAATTCATAACACAGGTATACAGTAGTGTGGACAAGCCATATCGGCTGCCACGGATACTAAAGAACCAAGCAAATATATATCCGGTCGAGATGCAGGTTGCAAGCCTATTTAACAGACAACTCAAAACATGTCTGTGTTTTCTTGCAGTTCAAGTTACTCGTTGACCGCCCTAGAGTTTGAGACTGAGCACAAGTTGGACCCCGTGTTTGACTCCCCAAGAATGTCAAGGCGCAGCTTACGTTTGTCTGCAGCAGGATATGGGGGCGCTAAAGACGAGGGTCTCTTTGGAAGTGGCAGCACCTATGCTGGGAAAAAGACATTTGCAGATCAGTCACCTCAGTAAGCATTTTGGCGCTACCAACCATTTGTACAGGATTAATTCCACGGTCCCATTCCATTAAATGTTATGTAATTCAATGCAACGTACATGTTTTGTGGTTTTTGTACAGCACTCTGAATTTCTGGAGAAGTGTGATAGAACATCTCACTGTGGTTTTGGCATAAAAATTGGGGCAAGGTTTAGACATGAACTTAGTAACACACATTGAAGTCCTGGGACGTAAGAAGCTTAATCTCAGATGACATCCCTTGATTTAGAACAGAGCTGGCTGGGGAATGCTGGGAGTTGAAGTCCACGAGTCTTAAAAGTTGCCAAGGTTGGACAGCCTTCCTTTAGAAGTCACTTTTATCTGATTTGAGTGGGCCTCGCTTCCATGTTTCGAATTTGGGATGCTCAGAACGGGAGCTCCAACATTTTCTGACATTATTTCAACAAGTACCTGGATCTGTGAGGGCTTCTGTGGAGATGCTCACTTCCTGGATAATGATGGTCATGATTTGGCCATGATTTGACATCTGGACAGCAGGCCATCATTGGTTCCCACTATGTTTGACTGAGCCAGGATTCCCTTCATAATCTGACACCAAAATGCAGAATCCAAACCCTGGTTTATATTTTCACCTTATTCCAGCAGCGCAAACTTAAGAGGCCTAGGATTCTTAAAAGATTAAGACCAAGAAGGAAATACTGCTGAAAAAGCCATAGCAACACTGACACTTTATTGGGAGTGCTACACAATTCTGTTGCCTCTTTCAGTTCTCCTGCACGCACAAATGTTTTTATTTTCCTGAAATTTTAACCCTGTCGGGCTTGGCCTGCCTCTTATTTCTTTCTTTTCCTGTTAAGGATGATCAAGCAACACAAAACTACAATGAGACAGTCCGGTTCAGTGAGAACCACCTCAAGGCGGAAAATGTCAGGATCTGCTGCGTTTAGCCACAGTAGTTTCAGCAGCCGCACAAGCGATGGGTCTTTCATGTCAACCTTACTGGATGAGTCTTCAATACAGGAACAGACGGCTGTTGACCATTTCTGGGGTAGGTACAGACTCTTTAACACAACAGGCTGTGCAGCTATAAAGGTCTGTGTGAAAGACCTTGGGAGATGGGGCAAAGAACTGCTGACTAGGGAACTGTCCGATAAGAGGGAACATAGTCCACAGCTGCATAGTGGGTGGATGGAGCCAGAGGCTCAGAAGTGACCCACCCTAATTTCTTGGCCTGTAAAAGAGAATTATACTTTCAGACACGCAAGATTCTGTTAGTGTGGTTTTACAGTAAAGTAGAATTAGCTTATCTGGTCACGTTTCCTACGTTATCTGGTCTGTCTAGTAAGGCTGACAACAGCACTTGCAAATGATCTTGAAAATGTACTTTGGAACGTCCAAGGGCCTAGACGTAGCCTTGCCAGCAGCTCCTAAAAGCAAATTCATATTTTACAAACTCGTCTTTTCTCAGGATCAGGCTATAGTTGCAGAGGGCAGCCACATGTCTCTGAAAACATCCTGACTCAAAGTTTGCCCCGTTTCAGCCCAGTGCCCACTTCTTCCAATGTAAGAAGTGCAGGAGTGATTACAGTTAATTAACCAGTCCGCAGGCTAAGAAATTGTTGCTGAACCATCAGGGGGGGAAAAAAGTGCTTTAATAGTTTCAGCCTGCATGCCACTAGCTTAGGTGTAGGATTCTGCTATCTCTGTTTTGAGATACATCTTGTTATATCTTTAGTTTTACTTTGATATTACCTATAAGTTTGCTACTATGTGTTGAGTTAGTGTTACAGCAAAAAAAAAAAAAGGTAACAAAAACCTGTTTTTCATTAGCTTGACTCCCAAGAAGTCACACTGCAGATAAACAAATTTGTGTTGCTTTTCCATCAGGAAATGTAACTTGTTAGATAACATAACGGCTACGTTTGGTACGGTCTTCAAAATCATCCTGCTGATCTCCTGAATGTATGAGATTCTCATTTGTGTTTTTAGACATAGCAGAAATTGTTAGCTTGTCGATCTCCTTGGACTCAAACCAATTGTCTCTTCTTAGGTCTTGATGACGATGGTGACCTCAAAGGTAATCCGGCTTGTTTGTTTTCACTTTGATTGCTTTTCTTCCCACTCCAGTAGATTTGGTTTGATAGACGTTTTTTTTTGCAAATTCAACAGGTGGGGATACGACTTCCATCCAGACCAATGGTGATATTGCAACACTGGAGAACCAGACTGAACTCAGCAATGGATACACCTGTAATGATTGCAGCATGCTTTCAGAGCGGAAGGAAGCCCTTACAGCCTACTCATCATCCTGCATGCCAACCTCCAGAGTTTACTCTAGAGACCGAAGCCAAAAATACAAATCCAGTAAGTATTCCTTCTCCTGAGAGTCTCACCGCTGCGTAACTAAAGTATTGATGGAGATATAAAGTCATGTGAATTTAAACTCGGTAAAGGAGAATATTTCTGGCTCAGGCGTGAAATAAGAAGTCCTTGGTGCTCTCTGAGCTTGGCTGTTTCCTTGCAGACGTTTCATTACCCAGCTAGGTAACATCATCAGTGCTGGAAGAGAGCGGGGTTTGCCCTTACATCACTGATGTTGTTACCTAGTTTGAGTAATGAAACGTCTGCAGGAAAACAGCCAAGCTCAGAAAGGACCAAGGACCCCCTCAGTTTAAACTCAACTTGGCAAGGTAATTTCTGCTAGTTTTACAAATTCAGAGGGACTTTGTTCGGTTCCAGAATTATACTTTGACACACTATTAAGGAAAGAAGAGCTACAAATAACCCCTTAACATCCCGTTTGTTTCCCCTTCTTTTCCCACCTTCGTTTTCTGTGATTGAACGAGGATTGCTTCTTGGCAGAGTGCAGGGCTCACAATATTTGGCCTGTTCATTTCGGCATCCTGCACTAGCTGCCTTTGCTTTTTCCCTTCCCAACGCCTCAGTCACTAGAAAAACAGAGGAAAATAATAATCTCCCCATGCTTTTTCAATAGGGAGTCTCCTTTACTACAGCAGTAGTAAGATCCTGGGAGCAGCCAAGCAGGCTTCAGCATCTTTCACATCACTCATAGTACAGCTGTTTCAGATGATCTTGCTGAAGCTGGGCTATGATTGTAAAGGTACTTTGAATTTTAAGCTTTTCTTAAGCTCTCTCCACCCATGCCACACACCTCACAGGAAACAATTCCATGGTGTCTTTTCAGATACGCATCTACAACTTCAGGATATCTTTGGTGCCGGCTTCTTCTTCTTCTTTTTGCACTGCTTTGCCTTCTTTTTCTTGAGAAGTAACAATATTGCAGCACCCTCCTTTTCTCCATTTTCTTCTTGCAGTGGCATGATGGATGATGCGGCTTGGAACGGAAAGCGGAATCTTGGTTCTGGAACTTGGTCACTCGCCTCCTTGATTATGTTCTCTTCACCTTTAAACTCTGAGTTTTCTTTCCTTGGTGTTTTGCACTGGGGGGGGGGGGTTTATAATATATATGTGCTTAGTCTGGCCATCCCTGACCAGCTACTGCTTGACAGTCATCTTTTTTTAAAAAAATGCATCTATTAAAAATTTGGCACACATTCCCAGAATGGATATAGGTGACTTTGATTATTGTGTCTTTTCAGCGGATTTAAATTGGAATACCCTGCAACTCTTGAAGCCAGCATAGCACACTATTACATGATGTCTCATTTGGCAGAAAGCCAAAGTATTATGTCCTTAATATCCATGGTTTTTTTTTTACCAGCTGCTGTTTTGCAGTGAAGAATATCAGAAGAAATAGCACGGTCATTTTTGTAAATTCTGTTTGATTGGGCCAAGGGCTTGAAAAGGCTCTTGTTTTGCCTTGGAGTGGTCTTAATCACTTATCCCCTTCAAGATAAATGTAATTTCTTTTTCACTATCAGTTGTCTGCAGGAACTAGGAGCCTATTAAAACATTTCTCTTTTTTTAACATAAAGGGGCCCTACATAAAATGGACTTGTCTCTTTGGGAAAAAATGCAACTTTTTATAAGAGGCCACTCCATCCAGCTGCCCCATAAGCATCTCCCTCATGCTACCAGCAGGTGCTTATACAAGTACAATCTAGGAAACCATGTAAATATGCACGTCTAATAGGATTTTTTCCCCATTTCCAATAAAAGGATTGTGTTATCCAATTTTTCTTGTCAGACCTCTGTTGGCCGGCAAGACAAAATATTGCAAGAATATATTTTCAATAAACACGAAAGCTCGAACAGGTAGATTTATTCTAGCAAAACCGTGCAGCCTTTATGAAAGAATTCCAGCGACTGCTGTGTATCAAACACAAGCTCTATTTATACTATAGTGAATATTCAAATTTCTTTCACTTTCTTTTTCCCTGCTTACTTAGTTCTAGGAACTATTTCTTTGGGGACAAAGTCCCTCTGTTCTCTGTTTCAGTCATGGCCTAATATAGCATTAGGTTGCTTACTTTTTGATCAGGTGAGACTTAATTTAATCTGTTCCTTACTCAGGTATTGGGGGGGCAAATTGCTTTGATGGATAATGTTGCTTTCACTGCTGCTTTATTCTTGGCTTCTGAAAATTAAAAGAAAAACTTTTAAAAAAGCATACCGGGCTCACCTCAAGGCTATTCTTTCTCTTTTTTTCCCCAACACACAATACAATTTAGACTCAATTTCTCTCCTTCTCTCTCTCTCTCTCTCTCTCTCTCTCTCTCTCTCTCTGTTGCAGCTCACTCTAATTACTGTGGAAGCATGAATGTAAAAGAATTTCTCAGGGATGAAAGCCACTTGGGTATGAACGGAGAGTCCACGTGTAAGTACCGCTTCCCATTGTTTTAAGAAATAAGCCCTGCTTAGAATTCCAGATGCTGCATCCACGTTCCAGTGGCCTTGTGGAGGCTAGAAAAGCTTTGCATGTTGGTGGTGATTTAGTATCTTGTACCTTCAGAGAGCTTCCATTATTTGCTTGGTTTGTCTCCCGCGCAGCTCAGAACAGCAGCTGCTCTGATAGACCTGCAGCCATCTTCGAGATTTAGTTTTAATGGGCACCTAAAACAAAGATTGCCAGCCTGAAGCTGTCAGTGGCTCAGAAGCAGAATTTGTGACATGCTTACAGGGGTCAGAAAAGTCTTGGATTGCTGCTTGCCTCTCCGCCACTCCATTGGTGATGCCCAGTTGTGTACAGGCCTTCAAAATTCCTAATCCCCATTTTGAGATGAAAAAAAATAAGGTTTGAATGCAACAATGGCTGTTTCAACACAGCTGTTTCAAACCTGGAACAAAAAAAATCCAAACCTGGATGGGCAACTCGAATTCAGCGCTTCAGAAAATTCCTTTGCTGCCTCCTGCATCAGCAACATGTCCTGGGGCACTGGGAAGGGGTTATCGGTTGTCTTGTGGCATGCAGTGTGTGGCACTGCCTCAGCAACAGATGATGGGCCACGCTCACACCCCTATTCAGATTTAAGGACTACTTGGGAAGTAATTTTATTTATTTATCAATCAAATGTATCGGACGGCCACCTTAACCGCAGTAATTTTCAGTACTCAAGCTGGTCCAGCTATATCGCGTTGCGCAGTTGATTGATGAATGTGCTTTGTGTTAATTCCTTGTTACCCCAACCTGCAGGTGATGACTATAAGGGGAAGAAACACCTTGAAACATACACAACAGCCCACTTGCAATCCTCCAGGTCTAAAAGGATAGCAGGAAGCATTTGGCACATCTTTTCTTACCCAGGTTGATTTGTACCACTCGGTTTTTATCGTTTTCTTTCCTTTTGTTTCTTTGCCCTCCTAAATCTTGTGGGAGGAGAGCCCCCTTCATCTACAATGGCCAAATACCCAAAGAGTAGCATCTTTTCTGACTAATACGACTCATTAAAAGTCACAAGCTTTCCTAAGGTGCAGCTGCAGCTTATTGGATGCATGGAGCAAGAGCTCTAGAATCAGGGAATCTTCAAACTTGGCCCTTTTATGACTTGTGGACTTCAGCTCCCAGAATTCCTCAGCCAGCACGCCAAAGATGCTTTTTCCAAAAGGCAACTGGACTTTCTTGTTGTTGTTTTTTTCCCTTTGAAAATGTTTCACTTCTTCAGTTAGAATCAGTCCAGTTGCTTTTTGGAAAAAGCATCTTTGGGACAACCACGACCTGGATGTTTTTAGAATCTGCATAGACAGTCTTAGATACATAACTACTGTGCTCCATGCATCTGATGATGTGCACCACTACTCACAAAAACTTGTGCCTTTTAATAAAGTTTGTAGTCAGAAGGACCTGCCTGTGTCTTTTGGCTTTTCTCCCTCATCAGAATCTCTGCATTGCTAAACTTAGAGCTTCCTTGCATAGATTAGATCGACGCCTCCCTTGAGAATTATGCCATTCCCCAGAGGCAGCCTGCCAACTCTAGCTGTAAATTCAGGTTGACATACACACACACCATGCTTATTGTTGAGGCAAGGCCATTCTTACTCTACATATGTTGCACAGCCATTAAGAAAGCCAAACACTGTAGTTCAGTGGAGGATTAAAAATAAAGTAATGCATTAGAGGATTAAAAATAAAATAATGCTTGGGGGGAGAAAAGTGAATCCTAGCAAAAAGCATAGAGGAATTTAGCTTTCAGTGAAATACAGCTAGATCTAGTGTAGTCAAACAAGACAATGATACATGGGGTCCTTGGCACTCTCTGAGCTTGTTAGTTTTCTTGCAGATGTTTCATTACCAAAATTAAGTATGAAACATCTGCAAGAAAACCATCGCCTCAGAGAGCACCAAGGACCCCACAGTTCAACACTGAGCTATAAATATTACCTTCTATCAGGTAAAGATATATTTGGGGTCTGCTGTTGATCTTCTATCCCTGGATTTTCCTAGATGGAAATCAAAGTTCAACCTTGGTTATTTTTCTTTTCTTTTTTTTGTTAAATCAAGCAACATTGATGGGTACATATTTTAAAAAGTGGTTATTACTGCATCCTTACATTTAAGTATTGGATTCTAGGGAGATGGGTAGTGAGGTGATCGGGCTTCTCTCAATTGAGAAGAATTTAGAATTTGTAGCAAGGTCATGATGACTTTGGTATGTTGCTCGGAAGTGGCATGTTTTCAGGGAAATAAAATTTGGCCTCTCGAAACCTGTCTTCTGTTTTTAAGAGGTAGAAGGCATAACTTCATTCAAACGAAAGAGAGAGAGAGAGATTCTGTCAAAATTGAGATCCTGTTAATAATGCTAGCTCTCATTTCCCTCTGCCCAGATGCTAGGGTATTTTTTTTTTTAAATGTGGTTTTCAGCTCAAGAGGGATGGCTTTGACTGAGATCCATTTCTGTTGCCTATTGTTCACACCCCTCTGTGTCGTACCAGGTTACTTCTTCCTCCATATGTTGCAAAGAATGAGAACGGCGGGATGGCTTGTGACCCGGAAGATTCTGTCTCTCCTTTGGCTGGCTGTTGTGTCCCCAGGTTACTCCTGTGTGCGTGTGTGGGTGGATGAGCACGCCGGCTTTTTGCATGAGTAGCCTGCCTTTGGATTCTGGCATCTTGCAGGAGATGGGAACCGCTAAATTAACTTGAGATCACAGGCTTTGGCGCAGCTTCAAACAGTGCATTTCCTACGTTGACAACCAGCCTTCTCCATTGTGTGCCGTCAGGACATCTGGTTGGGACAAGGTGGAGTGAGAGGCAGAGAAATATTCTGCCCTTCAGGTGGGCAGAAGTGTTTGAATCAAACACCTTTAGCGGAGAGTCCCTTTGGAGATCTTCCTGCATAAATTTAGCTTCCTGTGAAGGAGAAGCTATACCACCTGCATCCTTTACCTGTCATTTGTCATGATCCACTCTTCTGCCTTTAGTTAGCTTTAGAGTCGTGGTGGCGCAGTGGTAGAATGCAGTATTGCAGGCTGACTCTGCCGACGGCCAGGGGTTCGATCCTGACCGGCTCCAGGTCGACTCAGCCTTCCATCCTCCCGAGGTCGGTAAAATGAGGACCCAGATTGTTGGGGAGCAATATAGGCTGACTTAGAGAGGGGCTGTAAAGCACTGTGAAGCGGTATATAAGTCTAAAGCTGTTTCACCCAGCCTCACTTCGAGCAGAAATTGAGCCTTAGTCAACAGAGATGACCGGAAAGTGTGTATGAGCTTAAATGGCATAGGGCGGTTCCGTTTGGAGACGGTAGGGATAGTCCTCCATTTACAACCAGTTAGCGACAGTTCAAAGTTAACAACGGCACTGGAAAAAAGTGACTTACGACCAGTCCTTGCCCTTGCAACCATCACAGCATCCTCACGGCCAGGGGACGATCGTGTGGGCGCTTGGCCACCCGCACGTATTTATGACGGTTGCATCATTATAATGTGATTGACAATGGTGCCCCCCCTGCGCCAAAAGTCAAGGGGGGGGAGATGGATTTGCTTAACAACCACAGGATTCACTTAACCACTGCAGTGATATGCTTAACCTGGGGGGCGGGGAAAGGTCATAAAATCAGGCGCGACTTACTTCACCGCCACCTTGCTTGGCAACGGAAACTGTGATCGTAAGTCGAGGACTACCTGTAATAGGAAAACTCTACGCAGACCGCTGTAGTTTTCTCATTTCCCTCCATGTTCATTAGCGTGTAGGAAATGCATCTTGTTTTAAGCTGCTTTTGTGCTTATCTTTCCTTGCTTGATGCTGAGAAGGGGACGCCTTTGCCTTCGTTCCCAATGAACAGCATATCATGCCTTATAACAATATGTCTGCTTCCCCTGTTCCTAAATGGAGAGCAGATGCTTGCTGCCAACGATTTGGAGAGTGACTGTATAATTCTGCAAAAGCTTAGGCAATTCTTATTCCTTCTTCCAGCATGACACGCCGTCAGACGGGTTCTACTGAGAATGCAACAACCTGCCCTATTAATTGAAACCGACTAAGCTCTAGATTAATGTTTAAAAGCCAATTCCTGGTTGCATGACTTTTATGTCTGTCTCGGGGGTGTTCTGAGCCACTAATGCAGAAAACAGCATAAACAGGTTATGAATTGGTGTTTCTTTCCTTACAGTTGCACGGATATTGTCACTGACGAAAATGTTCATTCCTTCTGGAAATCTCTTGACATACAATAACCTTTCTTTAACCTTCCCCTCTCTTCCTTCTCCTCCCTAGCCAGTTGTTTTCAAACTGTATCTCAGGGAAGCTTGGGCGAAAAGATCAATCCTAGTGGGCCAACTGTCCACCATCACAGACCATTAGCCTGCAGAATGTGTGGGTTGTGTTCCAAAGAAACTCCTGGCTGAACCAGGATGGCAGTGAGACTCAGTGGATCCAGCTGGCCTCTGTGTGCCCTTAACATGTCTTGGTTTATGCATAGCCAGTTTGGCTAGTGACTAAAGCATCAGACTAGAAACGGGAGACCCTGAATTCTAGTCCCATCTTAGCCTTGAAAACCAGCTGGGTGACTTTGGGCATCACCAGGAGACGGGCGAGTTCTAGACCTGCCTTATCCATGAAAACCAAGTGGGTAACCTCTCTCTCTCTCAGCCCAATTCACCTCACAGGCTGGCTGTTGTAGGGAAAAGGTAGAAGGCGTGTTGTGTATATTTGCCCCCTTGAATTATTGGTGAAAGTAATAAAGGCGGGAAATAAATGAATAAATGAATCAGCGGGCAGAGGAATGATGCAACGGTCATGACATCATAATGGAAAGCCTGCAACTGACATACCTGAGTCCGATTTTAGAACCAAGAACATCAAGGCAGAGTTTCCATGGCGATGCCTTCGCACTTGGATCATCCTCTCTCCATTTCCATAGGCCTCTGTGACGCGTCTGTGCCCAGATTTTTCTGCAGCACTCTTAATGGCGCCTCCTCTACAATGTTGGGGTTGATCCGGAAAGGCTTCCCCGAGGATCAAAAAGTTTGAAAACGGCTGCGCTGAATGATCCTTGACGTTCCTCACTCATCCAGGCTTTCTCCTCTGATTTAGGGAAGGCAACCACAGGGGCATTCTGGTGGCTGGGCACTGGATGGTATCAGCTCGCGACCCTAATTTCTCTGCTGAATGTTTTTCTCCTTACAAGGTCTGTAAGCATTTCGTACGATACGGGGGGTCTCGTGCGTTGGGTTTTAAAAACGGTTCATGGCGGACCATGCAAGCTGCTTCTAATTGTAAACACTTAATCCTGACGAGAAGGTGCTTCGGTGGGCTTTGAGTGGCGGGCTGGATGGTTCGCTACAAAAGTAAATTTGATGTAAATTGAATTAAGTTTGTTTGAATTTCATTTCTGTGGGAGCTCCCAATGAGCTGCCCTGGTGTCAAGACTGCTAACATCGGATGTTCTTGCTTGCCATATGTGAAGAAGCAAACATGTTTTATTTAGCCTGCATATCACTTCTAGAGTTAAAGCAGACAATACTAGCCTAGAGGATGGGAAAATATGCTAGTTAACCATAACAATATTTCAGCACAGCACTGCCAAGGTCAGCTGTAACAGGAGAAGTAGGGGGGGGGACAATTCACACTTCACACTAATTGGAGAATGTGATTGATGACTGTAAAATGAAGGAGTGAGTTATGCTTTGTTACGGGTGATTGGGGGTGGGAGGTTTCAGTTTTTGGCTACGTGCCGAAGCTATGTAGCAAATAAAGGATTATTTAAGGTAAATAAGCCTCAAAGTTCTTTGAAAAGCTGTTTCTTTTCGGAACCATGACACCTGGGATGTTTTGGGAAGGACCATAGACTTGACTGTTATTTATTGAGCCACTCTACATAAAATAATTACCGGTAAGGCAATTCATGTCAGCGGTGGGCAACTTTACAGCGCAGTTCTTGCGTTTGTTTTCCAGATGTCTTCCAAAGATGTTCAGGTTGCTGCTGTTCTTTCTCCCCCTACTTTTACTGCTCGGTGAGTAAACAGGCATTGAGAAAAAGACTCTAAAATCTTACCTGTGGGGATAAATCTGGGTCTAGGGCCATTGTTCCTTCAGCCTCCACAATTCTTGCAATACAGGTAGTTCTCGACCGAGCTTCCTCAAACGTCGTGAATGTTTCCTCTTAACTGCATTTTTTGCTCCAGGTTTATGGTGCTGGGGTCCCGAAGATTTCCTTTCATTGTTACCAGCTTTGAACTGGACAAGCTTTCTCAGAATGCACAGGTGGGAAGACTCACTAAAGAGAGTTGCACCTGAGCCTCATTCAAGCCCCACTGGTCAGTTTCCAGAGGTAAGCTAGGCCAACCCTCGTGTCCGGCTTTGGTTTTCAAAGAGGTGTAACGTGTAAGAAATTTAGGGAAACCCCACAGCGTTGCTAGAGATGGAGGTTCCCAATCTCAGTTTTGTACTGGATGTGGACCCTCGGTCCATCAGTCTGCAAGCAAGGAGCCAGAATTCTGCATAGGTAGTTAGTTCTCACTTAAGAGTTACAACTGGGCCTGGAATTTTGGCCGTTAAGTCATTGCAGTCGTTCAGCAAATCATCGCGTGATCTGACTCAAATTTTACAATGGTTATAGAACAATCATAAAGTGAAGCAATGGTGGACATTAAGCAAATCGTGCCATTAAGTAAACCATTTGGTCATTAAGTGAATTCATTCTCCCAAATGGGCGTTTGTTTGCCAGAAACCAATTGCAGTAATATGACTGCAAGATGCTGCAAGCGGTTGTAAATACGAGCTGGTTGCCAAGCACCCAAAATGCCACCACGTGACCATGGGAGTGAATGAGGCAGTCATAACTTTGAGGACAGGTCATAAATAAAATTTTTTGAGCCCATCATAACTTCAAATGGATGGGGGGGGGGCTATTTTACTTTGGTTAAAGGGGATTGAGTTTCCATTTATGGATGGCTGTATTAAGGCTCTGTTGTTAACTGGAGAGTTTGGGGTGGTATAAATACTGTATAGATAAATACATAAATAAACCCAAGAGGCCAAAATTGGGCCATTGATCTTGACTAGAAATCCATTTTTCCACAAAGGGATTACCAAAATCTGGAATTATCTTCAAGAAACACTGCCTGTTTTTAGGTGGTGGAGGACTCCAATTTCATGTCAGCAAACTTAGTCTAAAGTTAATTGGGATTTGTTGCTGCTTTTCCTCTGTTTTGGTTTAATTTTAATGCTGCATTAAAGTGATATTTTCATTTGTGATAAAGTGATTTTATCAATGTGAGTTTATTTATGCTAGATGCAGTGAAAATAAATAAGCCTTTTTTATTATTAAAAAAAAACAACCAATCTAGGTGACTATGAAGTTCTTTGATGCAGATCGTGTAAGTGAGCTGGAAAAACAAATGGCCCTGTTATCTGAGAGGTGGCGTCACCAGGATGAAGAGTCCAATAAAATGCTGCTTCTGGTTCAGAGCTTTCAGGAACAAATCAGCCAAATGAACGACCGAAGTGAAACGTTGGCACTGGTCAAAAACATTGTGAGCCAGCATCTTACAAAGCCAGAATCAGATGGAACGGCACACTCAGAGGTAGCTCTGTGTGGAATATTCTCTGTGTCAGTTTTAATGTATATTTTTTTAAATTTATTAAATAGTGTGCTTGCTGGAGGAAGATGTTTTCTGAGACAAAAATTCAAGGAGGAAATTAGAATTTGTATGAGCTGAGAATCTGTCGTTCGTTTTTTGCGACGTTAAAGTAATAGTTTACCAAATTATAGTTGTTTGCATTCAGTTAATTCAACTATTCGACCAAATGAAATATACAAATCTACAAGTTTGCCAGATTCAATACACAGTAGATACTAATCAAGGAACAAAAGGGACTTTTCACATGTGAATTTTTGAAACGATACCATTTTGTCCCTTTGCCATGATTGGAATCGCTGTCTTTCTATTTATAGAGGTTCAAGGTGAAAAGAGTTTAAAGATAGCCATTTTTGTTTGTATGCTTAACTGTCTGTGCAGCATTTAGATACGGAAAAAATCCTTGGTGTTTTCATTATAAAAATGCCATGTTTTCATTATAAAAGTACTTTTTAAGCAAAAAGATCATTCTGTTTTGTCTTTCAAGCATGTTTTGACTTTGAATCAAGAGCACGAATGGCGCCTTGCAACTTTAGAAGGTCTTCTGGCAAAACTCTCTGAAAAATCTGAGGTAAACAATAAACACTTTTTGCTCTTAACAGTTCTAAGAATTTTACCACCCTGTATCCCTGTTACTATCCCAACAGCATCAAACTGCAATTCCATCTGTGCTGCAGGCTGGAATGCTGCTAAGCCTTGGCTTCTCCAAAATATGATATTTGCTGATTGCCCATCAGCCTCTTTCTGCAATGCAGAAAGTTTCTGGGGTCTCTCTTCAATCATTCCAAGTAAAGGGAGGCGGGATTTATTCAGGAGACTAATATTGTGTTGTTTTCCAGGGCCTCCAGAAAGAATTTGAATTAACCAAAGCAAAAACAGTGAGGTACGGCTACAACTCATATACTGAATTGGGAACCATTAAATATTACAAAACTTTCTATAAAGTTGACAGTATCTTTTCCTTTTTTAAATTAAAGAATGGGGAGGATTTTTATAGTAATAATGGTATGTTATGATGGATGGAGGGATGGACGGACAGATACAAATACAGATGTAAGAAAAAAATTCCTGACAGACAATTAATTAATGGAATGACTTGCCTCCAGAAGTTGTGGGTGCTTCAGCACGGAGGCTTTTAAGAAGAGATTGGACAACCTTTTGTCTGAAATGGTATGGGGTTTCCTGCTTGATCAGGTAGTTGGATTAGAAGACCTCTAAGGTTCCTTCCAAGGAGAGATGATAGATAGATAGATAGATAGATAGATAGATAGATAGATAGATAGATAGATAGATAGATAGACAGACAGACAGACAGACAGACAGACAGACAGACAGACAGACAGACAGACAGACAGACAGACAGACAGACAGACAGACAGACAGACAGACAGACAGATTTCACAACTTTATAACATATGCACCTTCCACTATTTAGGGTAATAATGCTCCCTTTGTTTTATCCAGTGTAAAAACACAAATGTTCCTATCTCCACTTAACCATGCAGAGTTTGACCCCTGCCTTTTGTTGCTCTTTTTTCTGCTTCTCAGTGACATGAATGAGCAAAGCCAGAGCCTTTTGTCCAAGATGAAGCACCTAGAACTTGAATTGGCCCAACTCAAGTCAGGGTGGTTGAGTTTACAAGATGTCAAAAGCTGCTGCAGCACGATAGAAGCCCTTCACCAAAAGGTGAGCTCAGAAGGGAACGCCTGAGAAAGCCTGAATTAGCACACCTCGTTCTGACATAATGTTCTGGATGGGTTAAGTTTTTAAAACCACTGACCTGGGGAGGAAGAATTGATTGCTTGACTTGTTTCAACATTACGCACTTTTAATTAAGCACTGAAATGTTTGCGTTCCATCGGTTAGCTGGCACCCACCCAAAATAAAGATGTATTGCCTCATTGCCTCTTTGTTTTGAAATCAGTCGTTAAGTTGTCATGCTTTGCTGTGTGTTCTGTTTACTTCTAGGTTGATGCCCAGATTAAAGAATCGGTCAGGGTTATGTTTTCTGGTGAGCTGGAAGGGGATTTCCCAGAGTCCTTGCTTCAGTGGCTAACTTCCAGATTTGTGACCAAAACAGACCTACAGGTTTTGTTGCGAGATCTGGAGATGCAAATTCTCAGGAACATCACTCTTCAGAGGTCGGTCACAAATTCCAAGGTGACTACAGAGATAGTGACAAATGCCGTCAATGAAGCTGGGATTGTAGGCATCACGGAAGCGGTAAGCCATAGTGGAAAGGTGTTCCATGCTGTTGATTTAGCATCTTAGGTTTCACTCCTGCCTGACAAAAGAGCAATAACTTGAAATATAACTAAATATAAGCTGGCAAATGCAAGAAATGAGGGGTTTTACAGGACAAGGATGAAAAGTGCAGGACCCTGTTGGCAGGCCCAGTAGAATATGGAATGGCAATATCTTTTACCAGCTGCATCATTTATCTTGGCTTAATTAGAGAAATTTGAGACTCAGTCTTAACGATAGGAGAAAATGCAATAATCAGGGTTTCCCATCACAATTGTCATATAATGCTGCTGCAACAATAAGCTAGCGTTAAGATATTGCAATAAGGCAGATATGTCCCTATTCAGAAGTAACTCTTATTACATTCTTCGGGAGATGAGGCGAAGCAACCATTATCCCAGCTAATGTAAAGCAATCTAGATCTTCAAGACCGTTGCATTTATTCCAGATCTCTCTCAGATGCTGCATAGCGGAGGCTGAAATTTAGAGTGGCCTGTTAGGATGCTCTTTCAGGTCTTCTGATCTAGTGAGAGAACATGTTCAGACTGCTAGGCTGTGTATGTTCCCCTTTAAAAGCAGGTGAAGAGGTACAGGTGGCGATTCTGTAGCAAAATAATTACATTTAGTCATCAGTGACAAATTTCAACGTTTGATTGGAATGCCGATCAGGGATCTCTGTCCCATCTGTCTCCCCTTGCAGCAAGCACAGGTCATTATCAACAACGCCCTGAGGCTCTACTCTCAAGACAAAACAGGCATCGTCGATTTTGCTTTGGAATCTGGAGGTAAGGGACCAAGAGTTAGGAAGATTTATTTTGATTCTACAGAATATCATACTTTGGATGGACCTTGGAGGTCTTCTAGTCCAAGGCTCCCCAACCCCCGGTCAGAAACTGGTCCACACAAACAAACGAAGCTCCATCTGTGGGCGGCAAGCAATACATGCCCTCTCTTGTCCATAGAAAAACTTCTTTCCAAGGAACCAGTCCCTGGTGCCCGAAAGGTTGGGGGCCACTGTTCTAGTCCAACCCTTCATTTAAGCAGGAAACTCTACACCAGGGGTAGGCAACCTTGGCTCTTTTATGACTCGTGGACTTCAACTCCCAGAATTCCTGAGCCAGCCATGCTGAGGGGAAAGGGAGAGGTTTCCAAGCTGAGCCGTGCTGGCTCAGGAATTCTGGGAGTTGAAGTCCACAAGTCATGAAGGGGGCATAGTTCCCCCATGCTGGCTCAGGAATTCTGGGAGTTGAAGTCCACAAGTCATAAAAGAGCCAAGGTTGCCTACCCCTGACCTAAACCATTTCAAACAAATGGTTGTCCAATCTTTTCTGAAGCAAAGAACCAGAGTTTTATTTTTAAGGCTCTTGCGGACTAGGATAAACAAAGCTAAAAGATTTCCCCTCTCTGTGTTTCTTCGAGGTGGCAGCATTTTGAGCACCCGTTGTTCAGAGACCTACGAAACCAAAACAGCGCTGCTGAGCCTCTTTGGAATTCCATTGTGGTATTTCTCCCAATCACCCCGGGTAGTGATCCAGGTAATTAGGACGTGGATGGTTTCTAGAGCACTTTTACAAATACTCTTCTTTTACAGACTTACAACAGCTCATTTAATGACGGTTTGAAATTACAACCGCACTGGAAAAAAAAAACCATGACCATTAATCACGACCGTTGCAGCCTCCCCGCCGTCACACGATCAAAATTCAGACACTGGGCAACTGACTCATATTTATGACGGTTGCAGTCTCCCGTGGGGTCACATGATCTCCTTTTGCGACCTTCCGACGAGCAAAGTCCACGGGGAAACCAGATTCACTTAACAAGTTGTGTTATTAACAACCGCAGCGATTCACTTAATAACTGCGGCAGGAAAGGTTGTAAAAAGGGGTCAAGACTCACTTAACGACGTCTCGCTTAGCCATGGAAACATTGGCCTCAATTGTGGTTGTCAGTCAAGGACGAGCTGTACTGCTCTAGTTTCTACCCTCTGGCCTAAACCACAACACCAAACTGATTCTCAATTGTTTCAGCCTTTTCTTTGTTTATTTATGTATTTATTTGCAACTTCTGGTTCTTGTCCACAGCCCGACATGTATCCTGGCAACTGCTGGGCTTTCAAAGGATCGCAGGGTTATCTGGTGATCCGGCTTTCGATGATGATTTATCCCACATCTTTCTGCCTGGAACACATCCCCAAATCGCTTTCTCCCACGGGCAATATCACCAGCGCCCCAAAGGATTTCTTAGTATACGTAAGTGGTGCCATCTGCAAAAGGAAGGAATGTTGTCTCATGTTGCAACTAATGGTAATGATTAAAAGCTCTACACAATGTTTTCTTTTTGATCTTTCCCAGCAGGCTAGGTCAGCCCTTAGTTAATTGCTGGAAGAGTTCAGGCTTATTTGGCGGATTGATCTAATGATTAGAACAGGAATGCAGAGAACGTAAACAAGCATCAGTTGTCCGCCGAGATTAGGAGGACCAGAAATTAAAGTCTTTTCTAAAGGGTTAGGTGTTGGAGAGCAACCATCCCAGTCCTCTCAGTCAGAAGGGCTCAAGCAAGGACTTACTCTGGACTCCCTATGTCAGGGGTAGGCAACCTTGGCTCTTTTATGACTCGTGGACTTCAACTCCCAGAATTCCTCAGCCAGCATGGCTCAGCTTGGAAACCTCTCCCTTTCCCCTCAGCATGGCTGGCTCAGGAATTCTGGGAGTTGAAGTCCACGAGTCATAAAAGAGCCAAGGTTGCCTACCCCTGCCCTATGTGAACATAAGAAGGCAAAGTCTGACATCCCCCGCCCCCAAATGCCTCTGAGCCTTATCTAGTCTTTTCCCAGTGAAGACTGCCAGCCTGGGAAGATTCCTGCGAAATAGGCCTAGGAACCATCAAGTAGCTGGTTGGTTTGAACTCTACAGATGTGGAAGTGATTGTTCGCCTGATGTCAGAGATGCAAAAGAGTGTGAAAGGTTTAAGGGCTATATTAGTGATATGGGCAGCACAGACATTTCATAAATAAAGTAAATAAATCGTCTCCGTTCTTTTTGGGAGGCCAGCGAGTCTGGAAATTAAACTTGACCCGCTTATCTTCTTTATCAAGAATTCAGAGCGACACAAACCGTTTGTATTGACAGGGTCTTGAAAATGAGTACCAAGAAGAAGGAATACTTCTGGGCCAGTATACATATGATCAGGATGGAGAACCCTTACAGATGTTTCCAGTCACGGTAGGTCAACCTTTCGGAAGATAAAAACTTGGGGCGAAAATGTGAGGCTCAGTTGCGGTAGGTCCGGACTACCTATAGTGGATTCTAATAACATTTTCCTCTTCTTTTAGAAGATCTCTGAAAAAGCATTCCAAATAGTGGAACTAAGAATATTTTCCAACTGGGGTCACGCAGAGTATACGTGCCTCTATCGCTTCAGAGTGCATGGGCGAACTGAATGAACACTACGCTAATTTTCCTACTCTGGCTGTACATCATTTCTGTTTTTTAAGTTTATAAAGGGAAATTTTGAACACTGGAATCTTTTTAAAAGATGAAGAGTTGGGTGATGTACGACAGGTTGTGTTACTCTTTCCTGGCTAAACAAAATTGTATCCCAGACCTAATGGTTATTTGCTCAGATGTTCAACTTGTAACTGCCAGACAGCTTTGTGTTTTTAATGTATTCTTTCTGAGGGGGGAAAAATGCATGCCAACTGCTCTCATTCTTAAGCCCAATTAGCACATCACTAACCCCTGTTTTAATAAGTCAGAAGACAAAGCTTTTAAATTTTTCCTTTTGGCCAGTAGGAATCTGGTTTTTTTTTTTTAATATTGGGACTTTCCTCTGCATCTGGATGTGATTTAAGATAAAAAGAACAGTAGGTGAAATTTAGCATGTTCTGTTGTTTATGCAGTTCCCACTCAGATGAAGGTTTGTTTGCAATTCCAGCACAAGCCTTGAAACTAAGGTCTGTTAGCACTGCTCAGACATTTGCTTGACAAAACTGCTTAGCAGCTCATCCTTGAAGCGACTTCATCAGTTCCAGTCATTTCTGTGCAATATTTAATTTTTTTATGTTGAAGGTTCTGATTTCAACCGAAGTGTTTTTATATTCATATTTCAGATTTAGAACATAAACAAAAAAAAATATCCTTTGCTTTATTGGGCACGCGAAGGCTAACGAAATTAGGAGTTAAACAGCCAAATGAATACCAATAGCAATTGTTTAACACAGAAAGGGCTTGAGTCTGATTTAATGTGTTCTAGTAAGAAATAGGGATGGAGTGAGTTGGTAAGTTGCCTCGTGTGCTGAAGGCAAAATGGCCCCATGTGTTAGCACCGAGTGCGTCCGGTGAATTAAGGAGGTGGTTACATTGAGAATGGTTTGGATAGACTCGAATGAGACAGATTCATAATATAGTTGGCTACCATGTGACGGGAGATAATGAAAAGGAAATGTAGAGATGGAGTCAGATGTAGAAGATTAAAGCAGGAACACTAAACTTCAAAGAAAGCAGCTTGCCAGTAAAATTCCTGCCTGGAGCTTATTCACATGTTGAGTTTTGTGCAGTTTACCTTCCCAGAGTTCACTCTGTCCTCTGGGATTGCTGCTAATCTCTGACAATTCAGGGAAAGCTTCACAAGGCTGAGTATATGGAAAAGCACAAAAGGCGCCGTTTTGAATCGGTTCTCCAAAAACAAAAAAGTCATCTGTATATTTACTTTTTTTAAAAAAACAAAAAAAAAGCATGCCTATGTACATAATCAAAATGGGCTATATCAAATTCAGAATGGCACCTGGAGCTGTTATTAGATTCTTATTCTAATTTCCCTTAAAGTCATTGAAATACAAGCCCTGGCAATTCAGCTTCCTTTTTTAAAAAATTTAATTTTGAAATATTGTCAGGATCTGGCTCAGAAAAAGCTTTTTTTGTTCTGTGAAAATGGTACTTCTGAGTCCTGGGTTTTTGGAAGGAAAACTTTGATTTCAGAAAAAAGATATGCTGGGTTTTTTTTTATTCTTTCGTATGTTGCACAAGAGTCCTCAAATATTTATAAAAGCAAGTTTTATTCTTGAATACCACTTGTTCACCTGAGTTTAGCTGAAAGTAGAACCAGTAGCTATTGAGAAAAGCTTGGTAACGCCTGTTAACAGTTTTAAGAAAATGATTCCAAATTATCCTGTATAAATCCAGTTGGGGGAGGGCAGGGTTTGTTTGTTTTGTTTTTTGCATAACACTAACTTATTTTTTAAAAAAATGAGATAGGACTTTGTGCAATGTATTTTTGTAAATGCTTTTTCAAAATATTTGTCTCTGGTATCCTTTGCTGCCTCCTAACTGACCAGAAGCTATTGAAAAAAGTTTAAGAATTTTAATTTTTGAAAGTGCATGTAATATTTGGAAATAAGAATAAAGTTTCCTTTTGGATATTTATACTGAATGCTTCTTACAATATATGTGGTTGGGGAAGGATCAAACTCAAAAGGATTAGTAAATATAGGAAGCAGACAAAACCAAAAACAGTTATACCGTTATTTCTGTTAGGCAGAAATCTACATGAAAAGAATGCATGGGAAGGAACTTTATCAAAATATTCAAGTGTAACAATACATCCATTATTTCTGATTTCCACGTGGTCAGTGTTTTCAAAAAAGAGAACAGTGGAAGACATTCAAAGCAGATATTTCAGTATTGCCTTTCCTGGTTTCAGAATGACAAGTCAAAACTAGAGCCCAAGGAAAGATTGTTTTTTTCCTTAAAAACAAGGTAGAAATAAAAGAGAGCCTTGACAACATGCATTTGGGTGCAAATCAATCAGAATAGAACTGGAAAGAACCTTGGAGGTCTTCTGCATCTGAAGCAGGAGACCCTATACCACTTCAGACAGGTGGCTATCTAGTCTTTTCTTAAAAACCTGCAGCGATGAAGCACCAGTGATGAATCACAATGTTGATTGGGTCTCCAGGACGCCCTTTCCCCACTATCGCCCTTATTTTCTGTCAGTTTCAAAGCGAGCCGGATGCCTCACCTTCTTTGAGAAACAGAAGCCTTAAAAGTCACATCACTTCAAGAAAATTGTCCCTAAATCTGTCGGTTACAACTAGTTAAGACTGGAACCGGTCTTACTGGGACCTCCAGAGTTTCAATAAACCTTGGCTGGCTGCCTGCTTCCATCCCTAGGTTTGCTTTCAACAACCACAGTAAGCAGGTCTCGTCTCCATGATTCAGTGTGGTTAAACTGGCTCGGCCAGGCAACTCCCACAGGCAGAGCCTCGCTTGGAAAGCCCAGACTGGCTGGGGCTGGAACGCCACGTGGGCGGGAGCCCTTGCAGCGCCCTCTTCCCTAAAGCCAGGCGGAACTTGGGAGGACCCCATCGGTGGGACCTGAAAAGATGGGGGGGGGGGCTTGTCCTCTTTTCCACCTTCAACCCTTGTTCCAGAAGAAGTCGGCCTTCCCCAAGCATCCCTCAAACCCCAACAGGTTGAGCAGCTCAGGTGCTGAAAGAAAAAACAAGCCCCATTCAGCTGGGTCGGCTTGCAGAGGCGGCAACCTGCGCGCCTGGCCCGAAGGATGCTCTGGTCCAGAGGAAACTGCATCCTTGGCGGCGTCGCCTAGGAGACGCCAGCAGGGACCGCCTCCGCGCGGCTCGCCCGCAGGTGGAGGTCACATGACCGCGACGTCACTCGCCCCCCCCCTCCGGTGAGAGCGGCACGCCACACGCCTCGGTCCCTCGCCGGCCGCCGTCGCCCCATTGTTAAGTGGGCGGCGCCGGAAGCCGCCGTGCGTGCGTTACGTCGCGTGAGGTAGCTCCGGCCAGGGTCGCCTCGGCGTTTCTCCCCGCCCCGCAGTCATGGCGGCGGAGCAGGAGGCCCTGAAGGGCGGCGGCGGCGGCGGCAGCGGCCGCAACCGGGGAGGCGTCCAGCGCGTCGAGGGGAAACTCCGCGCCAGCGTGGAGAAGGGAGACTACTACGAGGCGCACCAGATGTACCGGACTCTGTTCTTCAGGTGCGTAGGGAGGGCAGCCCTCCTCCTCCTCCTTCCAGACGCTTCCATTGGCGCACCCGAGCGGCGGCCGCACGCGATTGGCTGCGTCGCTTGTCCTTCCCGGGCCCCTCGAAGCCCCATTGGTCGAGGGGGAGGAGGCGGGGGAGCGGGCACGCCGGTCTGGCCAAGGCGGGGGGGGGAAGGTACTGGGGGGGGAAGGAAGGACTCCCCAGCCCATTCTCCCCTCCCATGGCCGCGCTTGGCTATGCTTCATATCGGGTAGGGAGGGGCAATAGGGACCCCCGCGCGTAGGAATGGGGGGGGGAAGCGTTGTTGGCGCAGCGCGATGGGTGGACTTCAACTCCCCAGGGGATTCTGGGACTTGAAGTCCACCCATCCTAAAGAAGCTCAAGTGCCCTGAAGGGACATCTGGGCTCAGACATGGAAGCTTATTCTACAAACTGACATGCTCTCTAGTGCAAACCCAATTGTACATCATTGGGGGGCTTTGGGGGAAGCTTGGGGGGGGGCTTTCCTTTTCTACAAAGAGGGGGGGGTGATGTTTTTGGGGTTCAGGGGCTTGCCATGAGATGAGACGGTCTGTTCTAGATCTCATACAGAGAGGCCACATGGATACAGGACTGATGCATGTGTATATCCTTTAGGGGGAACAGATTGGTGAGTTTAAGGGGAGATTCACAAATGATGTTAGGCTGGTTGCTGGCGGTCTGAACCCAAGGAGGAATCCAGCTGTTCACTTTGGGTGAACATAAGTCGGTTCTTCCCTTGGATAAACCTGACCAGTTAGTTATGCTATATTCTAGACCAGTGGTTCTCAACCTTTTTAATGCCGTGACCCCAACCAGTCGTAAGTCGAGGACTAAACCGGTCGTAAGTCAAGGACTAAGCCGGTCATAAGTTGAGGACTACCCAACCGGTCATAAGTCGAGGACTTTCCCTGCCCGGGAGCGCCGCGCATGCATGGTTCCGCCCCCTGCGCCGGCCGAGGCGTAGCTGGCAAGCGGCAGAGACGGAGCAGGCTGACCACCAGCTGGCCCAGCCCAAGGGAGGTAAGGCACCCGCCGGAAAAGGGGGAAAAATGGCGGACAGCCTTGCATGGCGACCCCCATGAATTGGTCGATCGACCCCAAATGGGGTCCTGACCCACAGGTTGAGAACCATTGTTCTAGACATCCAATACAGCTGTGGTTGAAGCATTCATTCTCCTGCTCGTCAGATTTACTTGTTATTTTATCTATTCGTATGTCACCCACCTCACTGTCCAAAGCAACTCTGCGTAATCTAGTCCGCTCTCTCTTGTTTTAGGTTACAATTTCAAAGATGCTTCTGTTGACCATTACGCCTGGGGCAGATGATGCTCCAGGCCTGAACACAAAAAACCTCTGAGTAGTGGTTGCATAGCCAGATCAAAGGTAGTGAGGATTGAAAGGGGTTAAGCTAATCTGGAATGTACAGAAATAGGCTTGTCAGGAACTGTTAAACTGGATGTTTAAACAGCCCTCCATGTTAAAGAGCAGCAATCCTGAAAATAGCCCCCACCCTCCCACTCCCTTGCTGTGATTAAATCAGCTGCAATAAAAATGTATATCTTTATTCGTGAAAGTAGGGCTAAAAGATAATTTAAGAGGTTTGTTTGTGACATTTCTGTGCAGAGCTCAGAGATGGCACACGTTCCATTCTAGATGGGTGGATATATACAAAAGCGAAAGGGGATTTTATAGCATCTTTAAAATTGCCAAATTTTATAACATCAGAAAATTATTGTGTGCACTACAGCCTGCTTTGTTGAACGATCGCCCTCAGTTTATAATTATATATTTTTGCCTGAAAACCCAGGAGAATGAAGAGTAAGAGACTTTGAAAAAGAACAGCAAAGCACAACATCTGTGCAAAGCTTCAGCACGTATAAAATAAGATCAATAATGCTCCCAACTGCAACTTTTGAGGTGTTCCTTTCTTTTTAAGAGATTGGCTTGCCTGCTGTTCTAGAAATTTCCATGCTGCAGTGCTATCTTTCAAGTCACCAAATGGTTGTGGATGGTATTAGATAAAGAATCTGTCAAAGTAGTAACATTGTTTCACCCTAGATGTGATGAATATGCCAAAAAATAATACAGCATCTAATGACAATCTAAGCGGTTTTGAAAAAGATTGACTTCTTTTTTCAGAAAGCGGGCCGGGCCCCTAAGAAATAGATTTTGGGGGAATCGAATGAAAATCCTATTTAGCTGCTGTTCACTTTAGACAAAAAATTTTTTGATGTGATCAAGCAAGATTTATTTTGCTAATTTTATATCTTTTTCAGCCCAGTGATAGTTGCAGTGTATGCAATCCCCTCGAAACTGGTTGTGTTCTGTGGTGTTGAAATTACAATATTCCAGATTTCCAGTCTGTGGTATTATTGGCTGACTATTCCTACAATTGGGCAACATATTTGGAGAGTGCTAAGTTGAAAGCGGCTGTCTTAGTGATACTTGAAAAGGGAAAGATTAAAGTGATTTAAAAGGCTAAGAAATCTACTGTTCTGTAGGCTTTTTGTAGGTTGGATCTCACTTCATCAGAGGCATCTGACAAAGTGGACTCCAGCTTCTCAAAATTCATGCCACAATAAATCTGTTAGTCTTTATTTGGAGGTAAGTCTCTTTGAAAGCAGCCTTATTTAATTCTGAATTGGGATCATAGTGTTGCTATCAGATAGATTTAGCATCTTTCCAAACTGTTTAGGTGAAATGCTGAACTGTCCTTCTCTTGGGACAGCTGTCAACATATGATATGCAAACACAGTAAACAACAAAACGAGGCACCTAATTAGAACAAGGTTTGTGCTATTGAAAGTCTTCACAGCCGTCAATTATACAGATTAGCCTAAGTGGTCATAAAAACGCTTATGGTTGGATCTTTGATGAATCTGGAAGAATGCTCCCTGGCTCTCCATATAGTTCTGTCTGCATGCCCCTTTTCTTGTCATTCACATAAGATTAAAACCATGTATAATTTAAAGATTAGACACATTTTGCATTCATTATGGAGAGGTATAGAGTTGTGGAAGAAGGGACATTGTGAGATTTTAAATTGATGGGTTGGCATGCTGGAAAATGGATTAAGGACCCAAAACTCATTGTACCCGTCACACCAAATAGAAGAAAACTTGTTAGGAATCAGAAGCAGGGCCAAAAGTTTGACAGTTAATTTAGTGAAAATATAGTAGGGATATATCTATCTCACCTCCAAATCATACTGTTCTGGAGATGGGTCAGCGGTTTCTGGAAGTAAATTTTCCAAACCAGAAGCTAAAATGTTGATTTTTTTGGATTTTACCAGAGTCCAGAGGGGTATAGTTATTTACCCGGTGGTCTGACTGAAAAGGCAGTTTTTTTTATGGTCCGAAGAAAAAAAAGAGACCAAAATCATTCTTGACTATTGATGGGTGGAAAAGTTGGCTTCTCAGGGTCCTCTTATTGAGATACCAGTTTCTCTTTTGTTGAACTTCCGAAATTATTTTGAATCCGTGCTGGCAGTAAAATACTTAGTAGGCCTCATTGTGGCCAGTCTAACACGCTTTTGAATTGGGACAGCACTGGCTTTTCTTGTGTAATAGTGTCTATGATGTGTTAAAGGACAACAGCAGAAGTCAGTTTTCTTCTCTCTGGCTACATGTGTTTTTTTTTCTAAGCAAGATTTAGGAGTCTAATGTTCTTGGGGATTACAGCCATAAATATAGGAACTATAGTTCAAAATTACTTTTCAGCTGCCTTTCCCTAATGTTGTGTTTTCTTGATAATGTTACGACTCTAAGAAGGTCACCATATTTGTCCATTGGAAGTTCTGGAGCATGTATTTCCAGCCTAGCATGGAGACAGCTATTCTGCAGCTTTTTTCCCCCTCTTTTTCATTAATCCTACGTAGCTTCCATAAAACAGTGCTCTGGAAAGACGGAAACCACCTATCATTTGCTCCTGCTTTGAGACCAAAAAAAATACCAGCTTGCTGTCCTTAGCTGTCTCAATCTCCCAGAGCAGCACTGAATTATTCACTGTTTAAATGCTTAACAGTCAAGATTATAATTAACCTGTGATCTGAGTTGTAATGGTATGCGCTGCGCACATTCTGTGCCAAGAGAGGGGAATTGAGCGACCTTTAAATGGAATACGAGAAATGCATTTGTGAAATTCTGTACCTTGTAACTAATTGGAACAGGCAAAATGCCATTTCCTGGCTGAGATTGGTGTCACGGGATGTTGTTCAAACAATTTTGTTCTACACACAACTCTAAAGCTGAGGCATTGGCGCGTAAGAAAGATGGGAAGACGGGAATTAAGGAAGTAGCGAAAGTGAATTCTCCCTCTGAAAAATTACAGCTGTCTGTCTTTATTTTGGAAATAATAGCGGGGATGACTGAAATAGTGACAATAATCTCATAATCTTTCAATAATCTTCCCTGCTTGGTTTTTGTGGCACCGACACGTTGCCTGTTAACACATAGCTCCCTGATTCTTTGTTGGACTGAGAATGAGCAAAAGGAATCTGTTGGGAAGCAAAATATATAAGGATTAAAGCTGGCTCCATCAGGGTTGCTTCTTGTTAGTAAGTACAATGGACACAATTAGATTTTTCTCTGCTTTTGTGAAAGAACTGCAGTACTCTTCTTGCTCAGTTTTGCAGGTGGGATTCTAAATCCTATTCCTTGGAAGATCGCCTTTCTATATTTCTCCCTTATTCTAGAGGTCTGGAAATAGACTGTTAAAATATTTAAGTAATACAGGTAGTCCTCGACTTAACTATTTATTTAGTGACCATTTAAAGTTACAACGGCAATGAAAAAAGTGACCTAGGACCATTATAACCATTACAGCATCCCCATGATCATGTGATCAAAATGAGGACCCAGATTTTTGGGAGGCAGTAGGCTGACTTTGTAAACCATTTAGAGAGGACTGTAAAGCAGTGTGAAGTGGTATATAAGTCTAAGTGCTAGTACTATTAAGAGGTAAATATGCATCCTCATGCCAATCTCACAGATCTTGTACAAAACTCTCTTCTGCAAAGCTCTGATTTCTGAAGTGGACTCTGTCTGATGTTCCCAAGCCTCTCAAACCTTGTCCCTTCTTGGTGTATTCTGGTTACCTTTCATTCTTCCTATTGTTGTTGTATTATTATTATTTTTTTTTAAAAAAGTTTTTTTATTTACAGGTACATGTCCCAGGGCAAACACGCGGAAGCCAGAGAGCTTATGTATTCAGGTGCCGTGCTCTTTTTCAGTCATAATCAGGTAAGACCGATTTAACACGGTGTGCAGATGGTTCTACAAATAATCAGCATGGAGAAGTTGGGGTGGGAAGGAGAGCCTCATCTCCAGTTTGCAAGCGGGGTGCAAGATACTTCTTTCCAGGGTGTGCCATCTCTCTCAGGAACCCTTTGAAATTGGAAAACAGGCAGCCTTACTGGCCTGCTCCAGAATTATTTTCAGATAATGCATTGACCAATAAGGGAGAATATTTGTCCTTGGTGCTCTCTGAGCTTGGTGGTTTTTCTTGCAGACATTTCATTACCCAACTAGGTAATATCATCAGTGCTAGTAAGGAGTGGGGTTTGCTGTCTATTTATATTTTCCTCCTCCTCCTCCTCCCCCACTCCCTTCTAGCACTCTGATGTTACCTACTTTGGGTAATGAAACCTATCCAATATCCAACTCGGAGAGCACCAAATGCATTGAGCCCCCAAACAGGCCTGGCAAAGCTGCTCAGATTCTCCCCACCTACCTGTGAACTAAAGTGTGTAGCAGGTACCTCCAGCCTTGGGGAGGCCATATGGTCACTTTCTGGGGCCCAGATGCCTCAAAAATAAACTTTTGACGGAAAGTCTGGCCTTCTTGGAGCCGTTGCTTCCCCATGAGTGTGTCTAAGTGGGCACCTGCATACAAGGCTGGTTCACACATTCCCTTTCTCCCTTTGGCTGCTCTTTCGCATGCACTGAAACATCCCTTCTATAAACCTAGTTTCTCTGGTGCTCTTCTGCTTCCCCCCCTCCTCTTCCCATATTCCCTTCTGCAACCCTCAGAAGTCCCAGTTCTGCCCTCTTTAAGTGGCCCTTATATCCTGTCCTGTGGCCCTTCGCTCTAATGCAAGCAATATTTAATTTACAAACCAGAAAAATTTTCCTCCCGGCCTCACCAGCTTTCATTCCCCCCCCCCCCCCCCGATACCTATGAATTCGTTCAAATGCTTCAACTCGGTTTGTTTTCTATTTTGTTTTAGCAAAACAGCGCTGCTGATCTCTCCATGCTTGTTCTGGAGTCCTTGGAGAAATCAGATGCAAAAGTGACCGATGAGCTACTAGGTGAGTGTTTTGTCCAGTTTTCCCTTTATTGTTCCACTCCGGAGACTTGTGACACGTTAAAACACCATCCTACCTTCCAGTTCCATTTTACTGTGGTTGGCCTGTCTTCTGAAATTGTCTTCTGAAGATTAGGCCTATTTTAACCTAACAGCGGTTGGGGCAGGTTCCTCTAAAAAGGTTGTTTCCTAATCTTGGCAAATGTAAGATGAGTGGACTTCAACTCCCAGAATTCTTTGGTCATCATTCTGAGAGTTGAAGTCCACCCGTCTTAAAGCTTCTAGGGTTGAGAAACATTTTTCTAAAAGGTCCCAAACTAGCCATGACAGTGAATCGTCCTTTCACTACTTTCTCCCTGTTAGTTCTCACCACCTCCATAGCTATCATGGCTAGAAGTTCTGAGAAAGAGATGGTCGGCTGCTTTTCATGACTTGCCCACAGTTCTGAGGAAATATCTCCAGGGGTTCCAGAATTGTTACTAGGTGGAGCACGATGTCTAGTCTTATCCTTTCTTCAACGCAAGCAGAAGCCGTGAGGCCTGCAGAGTAGTTGACCTCTCTGCCATTTTGAGAGCCAACCACTTCTTCAACCTGTCTACTTGCTAAAGCTCTCAATCCCTAAGTCAAACCATTTTATCCCTGGCTTGTGGGACAGTCTGATTCAGTAAGCCTGAAGTTAATCAAGATATTCTGAATCCATCTGGAACCCCTCTCATTTCTTTCTTCCTTCCCCTCCTCCCTCAACTGCTTATATCTCAAGGAACTCGTGAACGAAAATGAGAAAAAGCATCACCCATAAGGCATCTAATCTGGAGTTCTCTGCAGCCTGAATACCCCTTGGTAGCCCCACATCTTCTGAATTAAGGGAGGTGTTCCCTCCCAGAGCTTCAGAATGTCCAGGTTAAGTCTTTGCTTAAAGAATCTTTTCCTTCCATCCCTTGTTAGGAAAGGGAATGGCTCCTGATTTTGCAGCAGAGAGATCCGTTCAGTGTCTCTTGTCTTTAAAATATATATATATTTTCAAGAACCTTCAAGCCAAGCATCTGTGAGAATTGGGGGCGGAAGGGCTGCTACATCTTTAAAGCTTTTATCTGTTTTTTAAGGCCTAGTTGTCTTAAGCATTGCTTCTTGGATTTGCCTCTAGAAAACCTGGCAAAATTGTTCAGTCTGATGGATCAAAACTCACCCGAAAGAGTAGCTTTTGTGTCCAGAGCACTGAAGTGGTCCAGCGGTGGATCGGGGAAGCTGGGACATCCAAAACTACACCAGTTGTTGGCTATCACGTTATGGAAAGGTGGGAATCCTGAGCTGAGCTGCTATTTCTTCCAGGGTGCCTGGTTTTTATTCCCTTAAGAGTTGCACACATCAATGGGTCTTTGGTTAGGGAACATCTACCCTGCCCCCAGGATGCTGCTTCTAAGATCAGTTTTGAGGAGCTGAGGTCCATACATCTTAAATTTTTCTTCTGAGGATATGCTGGCTGGGGAGTTTGGGAATTTGAGGTGCATGCATCTTAACATTGCTGAAAAACACTACTGTAGAAGAAGATGGGGAGACAGCTTCAACCATCTATGACTTAAGGCTTTGCTAGCCCTAAGTCAAAAGAAGCATCCTTTATACTTACAGGAACCCCAAAATTAAAACATAAAGTTACATTTTCTAGGGCATACTTAACTTATATTAACCTCATTCAGATTTCTTGCTGTATTTTTCCAAAGTAAAACGGCTCACCAAAGTAGGGACCTCAGCTGTAATTTGACTTTGGCTTGTCCCATAAACCAGGAGTGGCTGGGAATCGCACGTCACGCCGAGCCAAGAAGCCGTAATTTACAAACCCCAATGGCTGCCCTCACCCAGCGCGGGAAGCCAGTTTGACTAAGGGCAAGGCGTGAACCCATCCAGACGTTGCTTTGATCGTTCTGCTGAAGAAGCACCCATGCCAAGCTGACCTTTTTTTCATGTCACTTTTCTTCTAGAGCAGAACTATTGTGAATCTCGCTATCACTTCCTGCACTCTACAGACGGGGAAGGCTGCGCAAATATGTTGGTAGAATATTCCTCAGCCAAGGGATATCGCAGTGAAGTGGACATGTTTGTGGCTCAAGCTGTGTTACAGTAGGTCTTCCCTTCTGCATTGGATTTCTCAGCCAAAGCTTTTGTGTTTTATCTGCTATGACCGAATAAAGATGGGTTGGGTTGGGTTGAGTTGAGTTGAACTTTATTTGGACAAGTGTGATTCAGCACACCAGGAATTTGTCTCTGGCACATGCATTCAGTGTGCATGCAAAGCAACAGGACAATAATAGTATCAATAATCTCAATAATGTTAATATTATTTATAATGATTGATTGATTGATTGACAATAGGTGTTCCCTTCAGCTTACAGGTTTGCCTCTTAGTATGGACTTAGTCCTTTGTTTCCGTTTGCTGATTTAACCTAGAAGATTTCAAAATAATGAATCAAGGTTATCAAGTAGACCTCAGGTTTCTCCCTCTAGTTAAAAAACATCCTCTAGTTTTTGCCTACATGCTCAAAGTTTTATACATTAGAATTATGGCTCTCTTTTTTTGATAAATGCCACTGAAAAGTATATTTGGGTTATTTTTTCCCTTCCGTGAGATAATTGTTCCATGGGAAGAATTGATGGCAATCGTGTGAAGAGATGTTGAAAGCTACTTTTCCTGGTACAGCCATAGGTAGAAATAGGTCTAGCTACTTACTCCGATTCCAGAGTAAGCACTGAACTTTTAGCATTAACCTTTAAAGCATGGCTGTCTGCGGAATTCTGGGAGTTGAATCCTCCTACTCCTACTCCTACTCCTCCTGCTCCTCTCCACAAACCCCACTCCCTTCTAGCACTGATGATATTACCTAGCTGGGTCATGAAATGCTTAGTACAAAACAACCAAGCTCAGAGAGCACCAAAGACCCCCCAATCATCATCATCATCCTCCTCCTCTTCCTCTCCATAAACCCCACTCTCTTCTAGCACTGATGACGTTACCTAGCTGGGTCATGAAATGCTTAGTACAAAACAACCAAGCTCAGAGAGCACCAAAGACCCCCCAATCATCATCATCCTCCTCCTCTTCCTCTCCATAAACCCCACTCTCTTCTAGCACTGATGACGTTACCTAGCTGGGTCATGAAATGCTTAGTACAAAACAACCAAGCTCAGAGAGCACCAAAGACCCCCCCCCCCAATCCTCCTCCTCTTCTTCCTCCTCCTCCCCACTTGCCTTTTTGAAAAAGCACCTTTGAGACCACAGTGACCTGGATGGTTGAAAATCTCCACAGATACTTAACAGTTTGTCGTTTCCCGTTTTAGATTCCTCTGCTTGAAAAACAAAACTAGCGCCCTGGTGGTTTTTACGACGTACACAGAGAAGCACCCTTCCATAGAAAGCGGGCCGCCCTTTGTACAGCCCTTGCTTAACTTTATCTGGTTTCTGCTGCTGGCCGTTGACGGGTAAGACTTTCACAAAGCTGCCGAACACGGACTTCCTTTTTTTTAATACCCTTCCAGTTTCACATGAAACGTGTGTGTGTGTGTTGGCTGTCTCTTCTCTTTTTAGAGGAAAGCTGACCGTATTTACAGTATTGTGCGAACAATATCAGCCTTCGCTGAAACGGGATCCTATGTATAACGAAGTAAGTTATCCCAAGCAGGATTGTTTATTGTTCACATCCCCCCCCCTTTTTTTTTTTTAAATTTCCCTACCCGTATTTTCATCGGATGGTGCGACTCCTAGCTAGTTACACAAGAGGCACTCAAAATGGCGACACGGGTTGAAAAGAGAGAATTAACTTGCAGACCTGTTTAAAAACAAGATCTTAATAAACTCTGGGAATCTCTTAGTACTGCTGATAGAATATTTGATTTGTTTTACCCTACTAGGTAACATCATCAGTGCTAGAAGGGAGTGGAGTTTAACTCCACTCTTTTCTAGCACTGATGTTATCTAGTTTATTAATGGAACATCTGCAAGAAAACTTAGAGCACACCAAGGATCCCACAATCCTCCTCCTCCTCTCCACCAACCCCACTCCTTTCTAGCACTGATGGTGTTATCTAATTGGGTAATGAAATGTCTGCAAGAAAACAGCCAAGCTCGGAGAGCACCAAGGACCCCCATCTCTTTTAGTATTCCTGAGATAAACTGTTTGAAAGTCTTGAAGAGGTGGGAGGCAAGGTGTTACGTAGCCCATCCACCAGGGAGTAATTTAGAGGCTGGGCCTCATCCCTGAGAAACAGCCCCTCTTCTGCACAGTGACTTGGATGTATCTCTGAAACCACCCCTCGGGAATCTGCTTTCTTTTTCAGCATCTGACCAGGACAAGCTAGTGAAGCTTTGTGTGCCCCCAGCTTTGTTTTGGACTCTGAAAAGCGAATCCAGATTGCCATTCCCATCCCAGCAGTCCCACCTCTAAAGTCAGTCCTGCATTTACAAAGGACCCGTTCCTTGAGATCCCAGAGCAGCACTGATCCTGAAAAGTGGTCAGCGTCCCAGCAAACATTAATTACAAATAGATAGTTTTATGCCGTAGACGGAACATTGTGCGAGATCAAATTTGGGTTGGTCGCAGACTTACTCTTCCGAGCTTTTGGATTCACGCTGGAGCCCATCTTCAGGGAATTTCTACCGACATACGTGCTTTGTACTCCCATTGCAATGAACAATGAACACACATTCAGTTTTGTAGTTATTAAGATTGTTGGACGAGCAGGCGCAAAAACAGCCAGGGAAATGATGGAAGCCTGGGAAACGGGCCCCTTGTCCGTCAGCAGGAGTGCTGAATTACCACCAGCCTATCAAATACTTAGGAGCCGAGGGCTTGGCAGCCCAAGGAAACGACAGCCAATCGCCAGCCATCAACACACCAATCAGCCAATCGGAAGGCACCCGATAAACACAACTCGCAGAACGGCCCGAAGCGCGTATTCCAGTCGGGAGAAGTTTCCTGGGGATGGGCTCCAGCACAAGTCTCAAAGCTCGGAAGGGTAAATCTCTGGTCCCAGCGATTGACCCAGATTGGATCCTGCAACACTATCCAGGGACACATATCTTCGCTTCCATTCGACCGAGTATTGTGTCTGGCTTAGGGCAGGGTGCCTAAGACGAGCCACAAGTAACGTTTCTTTTCCCCCCCTGTTGTTTTCTTCAGTACCTAGACAGGATAGGACAGCTCTTCTTCGGTGTCCCCCCAAAACAAACGTCATCCTACGGAGGATTATTAGGTGAGTTTGAAGATGCAGGATGGGACCTTGTTGTCTCCAGTGGGGGGGGGCATCATCCTGTTTTTAGCTAATGGCTTCTTATTGACATGGGGGGGGGGGGGGTTTCCAAATGCAAGTCTTTTGTGTGAGCTTAAATACCTCTTCCTGGATGGTTGGTACCCTCTGGGTTCCTTTTGATGACACAGTGTCATGTCAGGACCCCTGAAGGGCATCATCATCATCATCATGATAATAATAATAATAATAATAATAATAATAATAATAATAATAATAATAATAATAATAAAGTTGGAAGGGACCTTAGAGATCATCTAGTCCAACCCCCTGCTCAGGCAGGAAACCCTATACCATTTCAGACAAATGGCTGTCCAGTCTCTTCTTAAAAACTTCCAGTGTTGGAGCATTCACTGCTTCTGGAGGCAGGTTGTTCCACTGGTTAATTGTTTTCACTGTTTCTCCTTAGTTCCAGGTTGCTTCTCTCCTTGATTAGTTTCCATCCGTTGCTTCTTGTCCTGCCTTCAGGCACTTTGGAGAATAGCTTGACTCCCTCTTCTTTGGGGCAGCCCCTGAGATATTGGAAGACTGCTATCCTGTCCCCCCTCGTCCTTCTCTTCATTAAACTAGACATACCCAATTCCAACAACCGTTCCTTGTATGTTTTAGCCTCCAGTTCCCTGATCATCTTCTCCATGTCAGTTTCCTGCCCTTTGGAAGGAGGTTCCCCTTGAGATCCAGGTCTCCCCTCGCTCTGAGGTTGTTTAGAGCAGACGTCCCCAGCTCCGACTGGATGGTGGGGAATAGAAGGATTTATATTCTTTACAGGTCGTTTGCCTTCTTTTAGAGAGTCCTTGAGGCCACTTGGAGGTTTACCTGTGTCCTCAGGGTCACCTGAGTGGTGCAAATGTGATCCTAAGACACAGGTAAACTTCCAAGTGGCCTCAACGACTCTCCAAAAGGATGCAAACGACCGGCTGTCTGCAAGGAGTATAAATCCTTCCATTCCCCCATCCTCCAGCCAGAGCCGAAGAAGCTTCTTGGATGAGAAGCGAAACGTCTTCAAAGGAAAAACAAGTTGAGGGGGGGAAAAAAGCACTTTTGCGACATCCCAAAACGAGCATCCCTAACGCGTTTGGATTCCTTCCTTGTCCTGTGATTGCATCTTAGGCAATCTTTTAAACAGCCTCATGGTAGCCGGAGAAGAAGAGGAAACGGAAGAAGAGCCGCAGGCAGACAGCAGCCCCATTGAGCTGGACTGAGACCTCCCCCCCCCAAATCCCTCGGAACCCGACCACGTGCTCACCCGAAACCTCCGACGACGACGACGACAAAAAGAAAAAAGAAAAAAAAAAGACATTGGGGACGAATCCTGCCGTCGTTCCTCCACAGGTTCAAGGGCCCCCCTCTGTTATGTTTAAAAGAAGAAGGTTCCTGAGATATTCATAATGTTTTGGTCTATATTATTTATGTAAAAACCAATGCGCTGGCTGGGGTAGCCAGCAGAAACTGATTTTGTGGCGGTCATTAGTGGACTTTTCTTAACGCCGGCAGCAGATCGATAAAAAGGCGCCTTCTCTATGGTTTTCTGAGCAGTATTTCCCTCCTCCTCTCCCAGGCCCACGAAAAAAAAAACACACATTGGTTGCTTTATACACACACACACACAATTTTTTTCCCAAGGCTACCATTTTATTTCAGCCAATTCGCCGATTAAGGACATGATTGTTCAAAGGGGAGGGGGGAAATGGGGCGGAGTCGTTCCTGAGAATTCAGGAACTGAAGCTGCTCAAGAAGGCGTCCTATAGACCTGGTGCCAAAAAAACCAACAACAACAATAATGAATTTTCCGACGAGCCAAAGAAAAATTTGCTACTCATTGAAAAAAACCCAAGCAAGGACTACACCAAATTCATATCCATCGTAAGGGGGGGAAAAAACGACGATACATTTGAGTAATTATAGCAAGGAACAGGCTGAGCAGGATTTCAGGCAAGTTAACCTGTCTAAAAAAAATAATATTTAACTCCCACATCAAAGGAGAACGGCACTCTTAAGGATGTATGAACTACGGCTAAAATCCTGTTATTTTTCCTAGAAAGATGGTTAGTCTGAACCTCCAGCAATCTGCAATCCTGCCCCCAAAACCGCTCCCTTTTGGCTGACGAAGAAAGCACGTGCATATATTAGAAACAAGAGTGATCCTTAGGTGAAGGGGATGCTGTGGACCTTTTGGTTCTTTATTTATTTTGATGGGATGATTCGTTGATACCTTTTAACACTTCGTGTACAAAGAAAGAACAAAAAAAAAACAACCCCGCTCGCCGGGCTTCGCGTAACTCTACATCCTTGTCTCCGTTAACGCACATTGACACCAGAAGTTTAACCGTACGATTACAAAAAAAAGAAAAAGACGAAAAATGGAGGAGGGGACATTTTATTTTTTCACACTTTAAAAAAAAAAAAGGCTTAGATTAATACGGTGATCATGCATGAAAGGGGAATATTACGTTTTTATTTACTGTAAAAAAAAAAGGATGAATTTGTGTTAATTGTTGAGTATAAAATAAATACTTTATACTGGATGTCTGCTGCTCTTGCCTGGGGGAGCACGGCTACGCACCACTTGTATTTTTTAGGTCTTGGATGAGAGCCTTAAACCATGATTCCGCAGGGGGGTTTGTTTTCCGGGGTAGCTGGCTTGATTTCCCCTCAGGATGGACAGATGGTCCTCGACTTAATGGCCATAATTGAGCCTGAGACTTATGTTGCTAAGTGAGACATTTGTTAAGTGAGTTTTGCCCCAAACTTTCTTGCCTCAGTTGTTAAGTGCAGTTGATAAGTTAGTAACCAGGTTAAGTGAATCTGCCTTCCCCATTCCAACATTTCAGGCAAATTACCTGCTGCTCAGCTCTAATCTTAATTAGTCAATTCGGCGGTAAGTTAGTAACCAGGTTAAGTGAATCTGCCTTCCCCATTCCAACATTTCAGGCAAATTACCTGCTGCTCAGCTCTAATCTTAATTAGTCAATTCAGCGGCCAGATTTCATTTTCCTACTTTATTTTAAAATCACTAGGTGGTGCTGAAGCTCAGATTTTTTCTCTCTCGCAAACAAAAGGCCTCACATCTTCAGACACAAACCCGCCCAGGCTCCTAATTTGTCAACAAGAACGAAGAGATGATGCTGTGATAAAATTCCATTTTTCACCCCCTTTAGTCTTTTTTTTTGGGGGGGGGTCCTAAATCTGCCAGGATGAACCAAACCTCCAGCACGTCTCTTGTATCTGCCACGACCGAGATGTCCTTGTACGTGGTAAGTTACCCTGATCCACTTTGTGTCAGTTGTGCAACTGAGGTCATGAGTCTGGAAGGGTTTAGCGGGGGGAAAAAAGGGCGGGATCCCCTTCGTTTCGTAAAAGCTGTCTGGATCACAGTTCAGGACCTTTTTGAATAGAGAAAGTTTTTGTTTTTAAGTCTCGGCATTTTAAAAAGGGCCCCGTCACGAAGCTGGAAGATAATTGACAGCCAGCAAAGAGCACTGAGGCAGGGGAAGAGTTTTAAAAATGGCCCAGAAGGCAGTTTTCTGTTTTTGCCCACAGGTATTGAAAAAAACCCCATTCAGAGAGTTTCCACTCCCTACAAAGGATTCCCATTCATTTTATGCATCTGATGAAGTCCTTTCTGGTGAGGGAAAAAACCAAGAAGAATATAGCTATCTATGGAAGCACCCTAATGTATGGTGGACCTCTGGAGAGTATGGCTATAATGCCATCCTTTCCCCAAAGTACACCTTGCTAAGGGGCAGAAGATCCTCCAAACTTCACCCCCAGGTAGATTTGGATTTCTGCCTTTGATCCATCTGAGAAAGACGTAGCAGCGTATCGAGATTCGATCCTGATGAAGTTCAACAGCCATGAGTGTACGCCTTTCTCATTATTCACATTAAATCTACATGGCTGCGGTTAACGTCCAGTTTTCCTAACGCCCTACACCAGGGCTCTCCAAACTTGGCAACTGTCAGACTTGCAGACTTCAACTCGCAGAATTTCCCAACCAGCATTCTGGGAGTTGAAGTCCGCTAGTCTGAAAGTTGGAGAGCCTGCCCTAGGCTAGAGCGAACCACAGCAGTATGTCTCTTAAGAGGCTGTTGAGTAGGAAACGGTCAACATTCATCCTCTTTTCTGTTAAATTAGATCTTCAATTTTCTTTCAGCCTAGCTCCACTCGGTGTTCCCTTTTAAGATGGGGGCTGGCAAGTCTTCTCCATACAGTTGGCAAAAGAAGATTGCTTTGGCCACCTAACCAACCTCTGGAAGGGCCTGGTGGCTTTTATCACTTGAGGTTCTCCTTACCACCACCTAGATCTTCTCTTTCACTGGAGTCGCCCGTTTTGTCAGACGGGCGTCTCTATACATTGGAAAAATAAGTTACACGAAAAAAGGAAGAAAGCACCAAGAACCCCACAGTTCAACCCTAAGCTACAACTACTCTAAGGAAGAGGTTGCGACACGTTTCCTGGGGAGGGAAGGACTTGCGAAAGACGTGTGGCGAAACACTCAAAAGAGAGCATTGCCCGTTAAGAACTTGATCAAATCTGCTTGCTTGATCGGATGAAAATCTGGCCTTCAGACCCTAATCGTGTTTTACAGCAAGGATCTTAGCTGGCTGGGGAATTCTGGGAGTTGAAGTCCACAAGTCTTAAAAGTTGCCAAGGTTGGACCCCTCTGTTTTAGGGGTTTTCGATTCCTGCCAATTGGTCCAGCCAACTTAGAAGCGTGCTATGGCCCAACATCTCACAACTGAAGTACACAAAATGCACTCTTCTGTCCTCATTTACTCCTCCTGCATTAAAAGATAAAAAGAGTGCTTTCTCTGCACATAACCATTTATTTCCCAAGTTCACCTTTTAAGGAAGGTGTCCATTGCATCTCCGTATGAGCTCATTTGTATTTGACCCGCCGTCTTTTGAGAAGCAATTTTTCACTGCCTACGTTCTTGGAAGCAGAGAATTTTCCATTCTAAAAATAAAACTTAAGAGGTTCTAAAGATGCTCTTCCTCATTTTAACTTTTTTTTTAATGCTTTAAATATTGCACAATGGGAAAAACCAGAGAAACTCTACTTTTTTTTTTTTTTACCCTGAATTTAATCAGACACCGCCTTGATCAAGCCAACAGGATAATAATTTATTGGTGTGGATGATAGTTAGTACCACAACTGTCTTTTAACAATCAAACTTAACAAATGTACACACAAGACAAGAGAGACCGGGTCTTACAGAAACATTGGGACGGAGGAAGAAACAGATTTAAATCGAGACTGTGTCTTAAGATGCAAAAAAAAATAAAATACTAGTTCTGGACTCTCCGGAAGAATTTTTTTGTGCCAGACTTTAACAAGTTGTGAAGGTCACAGCTGAGACTGTGAAGGAGCAAGAATTAATATAATCTTACATCCACAAGAGAGAAGATGAGAAACTAGTAGATTTCAGCCCAGGGATGAATTCCTTGCTGAGTCAGTCAGTATAAATATACAATAATACAAAGTATGGCTACAAACAGAGGGAATCTGGCTTTAGAGAAGGGAAAAGTCTGATCTGGTGGTCCGGTGGCTAAACACGATGAAAATAGAAGGAAAATAAAATCCGATATTAGTCGGTGAGGGTCCTCGTGCAGCAAATTCCTAAGTAGCTCCCGCTTGCCAAAATTGTAACGGGGGAAAAAAATAAATTACTTGTCTGCTGAAGCTAACAACGCTTTGAATCAAACTATGGTTTGCTTTCTAACTCGTGTCTGTTTGTGCTGGGGTTAGTTGTTAAGCTGTTTTTATGAATGAACACTTTGATGGATGCCTTGTTGGAGATTGAGCAGACCTGGGTATTTTACGCCCCCCTGGCCTTTTGGCTGTCGCTGTCCAGCCCACATGAGGTCAGTCCAAAATTAGGAATTACATGTAAATGAGTGTACACCATGCACGCAACGCAGCTGCTTTGCTTTTATTTTGAAGGCGACTGCTTTTTTTAAAAAAAATTATCTACACATCTTCACAGCCCGATTGGTTTGACCCTCCACAACAGTCCCAGTTTTTCATGTGACCCTCTTGGGAAAATTAATTGCCCACCCCTGGGTTAAAGGGTTGTTGTTTTTAGCATGGCGTCTTCTTGGAAAAGTCACTTCTGGCATCCAAAGAAGTTTTCACCGGTGAAAACGTTTCATTCAGCTCATCCATCCAACTTCACAGTGAATTGGGTTTGAGTTGTGCTAGGCTTAGCGTACGATGCGAACTGAAAGATGGCTAAGTCATTAAACCAAGATGAAGCAAGCCGTAGCTTAGTGCTTTATGTGCGTTCAGTCGTTGCTTTGCAGAAGTCCACTCGTGGGCTACCTCAAGGGACAATTGCAAAAACTTCTCCTGGTTCATCATCCAGGACAGCTTAGTCATGGTGATTGGGTGACGGTACCACGAATTCTTCTGAGTGAGGATAATGCTCGTGATGTTCAACCACAGCCACCAGCTTGACTTTTGGGACAGTAACATGGATGCTCCGGCATAGAGTTGGATAAATCAAGTTTTTCAGCTCTTTACTGCGTCATGCAGGCTTGTCTCATCCCCAAATGAAAGCTGGTAGTTTTCCCTTCCCTTTTTAGCTGACCCTCCTGGCCCAAATGTCAATAAGGGTCCGTTCTTCAAGCATCACAAAGTGACAAGAAGCAAAACCATCTGAAGAAATGGCTAAACTCAGCCTCTCCGCATCGAACATCTTCAAGAAATACTGGGAGTCCTTGTTCCCTGATTTTGTAGTTAGCAACACTCCTGGAGAACACGTCAAATAATTAATCAGTGCAACGGCTTGCCTTCAGAAGTTGTGGGTGCTCCAATACTGGAAGCTTTCAAGAAGAGATTGGACAGCCATTTATCTGAAATAGTATAGGGTCTCCTGCTTGAGCAAGGATTGGACTAGAAGACCTCCAAGGTCCCTTCCAACTCTGTTATTCTTTTAAGGCTGGGCCGGCAGAACAGATGTATTACAGTAGATGATGCCACAACAAATCTGACAGCAAGATGACAGTAGTCCATTGTCCCAATTTCATCATGTACAATGTCTTTCTGGCCTCCCTCCTTCCATTCCTCCTACTCCTGCCTACTCCCACACCAGAGTTTGAGCATCTTGATACCTTCCACAGATGTTTTCTAGGTTCTGCTACCATCTCTGAATCTGCATTCTTGGCCACTGAAGAAGACACAGACCCGTTAGGAACGTGTTTTATACAAGGACATCGCCATAATAGCACGGCCAAGACCCAAACAGAAGAAAGGAAAAGAAGGACGTTGTGTCAGGATTCTTCCAAAACGTCAGACATAATTCTCTTTAACTAGTGTAACCAGGTTATCCACCCGTAGGTGATCGAAGAGCGACATTCTCGGGAAAGTACAGGGCTGCAGCTGCCCGTAGCTTCGGTCTCCTTTGGATGGACAGCACCACGATCCGCGGCTCAAGCATTTTAATTGCACCTCCCATCCCGTGGTCTAAAATGATTCAATAATTACATATTTATTATTATTATTTTGGTCATTGCTAGCCTTGCAAAACAAAAAACAAAAAAACAAAAACTGAACAAAACCAAAGTCCTTTTGTGTTGTAAACCAATCTTGCTTCAGACCGTCGCTAGGGTTTATGCTTGAAGTGGGCTTCCACTGGTAAGGATAGAAAAAAGAAAGAAAGAAAGAAATTAGATCGTCCAAAGACGTTGCGGCCTCTTTACCAAGTACAGATAGTCTTCGACTTATAACGGTTCGTTTAGTGACCTTTGAAAGTGACAACGGCACTTTGCCGCTGCGTCCACCAATTCCAGTTTTGATTTAAGTCTTTGTCAACATCGTACGAGCGACGGCTCATCCCAGGGACCTAACGCTGGAGCCTCACCTGCGTATTCCTGCGGCAGCATCGGCCGATTGATCAGTTTCTGAAAAGCGGAGACCCACTCCAGCTGATCGCTTTTGGTCTCACAGGCAAAGAGAAACTTCCGGTCAGGGGTGACGATGGTGATGCCGTATTGCCAGTGATGTCCCTGGGTGGACTGGGGGAGCCCTTCCAGGACCTTGTAGCTGTTTTCTTTACTCCCGATAAAAACCTCTCCCCGGGCGAAAGCATCCTGAATGGAGGACAAAGCAGAAGGCTCTGGGTTTTCAAAGGATTGGATGGATTAACCTTGTTTTTTCTTCTGTGCCGCTCTGGAAATTAGCAACGGAGACAAGATCTGAAGGCCAAACCAACAATCCTTCCCTAGAGCAGTTTTTCTCAACTGATGCTCTGTGAAAAGTCACAATTAATCTGTCTGTCTGTCTGTCTGTCTGTCTCTATATCTATCTATCTATCTATCTATCTATCTATCTATCTATCTATCTATCTATCTATCTATCTATCTATCTATCTATCTATCTCTATCCCTCTTTCTATATTATCTGTCTATCCCTCTCTCTTTCTATATTTTCTATCTACCTACCTACCTACACTCCTGTCTGTCTATCTGTCTATCTCTATCTATCTATCCATCCATCCATCCATCTATCTCTATCCCTCTCTCTTTCTATATTATCTATCTCTATCTATCTTATCTATCTATCTATCTATCTATCTATCTATCTATCTATCTATCTATCTATCTATCTATCTATCTATCTATCTATCTATCTATCTATCTATCTTCCAGTCTCTCTCTCAATCATCTATATCCATCTATTTGTCTGTCTGTCTGTCTGTCTGTCTGTCTATCTATCTATCTATAGCTATCGGCTGCCCATCTTATCACACAGGGTAACTGTGGGCACCTCACAATATTAAAATGATAAAACAACATAAGTAAAACATTATAAATATATACAGGAAAATATACCTGTGCAAATATGCTAACTACAATAGCTAAAAGGTGGGGATTGTGGATCGTGCAATGCTAGCTGTAGATGGCGTGACTTCTATGCAGGGGCTGCCTGTGACCTGAGTGTTATTTCAGGGTTTCTGCCAGAGTTTTTTAAAAACAAAAATTGAAAAAGGCTGACCTAAAGAAAGCTCTCGAGTTCTCCCTCTCTTTCTTTCAAACTAGAACAGAGAGAACAGAAGAATTACTTTAGAAGAAAAAGAGGAAAAAAAATTAAACATCTAGAGAGGCTTGAAGCCAACAGGGTGAAATTGACCGCAGATAGAGAGTCCTGCATCCAGACAGAGGAAAAAAAGACCCAGATGCAAGATGGGGCAGATCTGTTTTGGCAAGGGGACCTGTGAGAAGTATCTGCGCCTTCTAGTACGTCAGACGTTGAACAAGAGTCAAGAATGTGAGGCAGCTGTTAAAAAGGCAGATGCTATTGTGGAAGGAATTAAAGAACGAACTGCCCCTTCTCTGCCTTGGTCAGATGCTGCTAGGAATATGATACCCAGCAGTAGGAACTGCAGTCTGAACAGGAGATTGAGAAACTGGAGAAGACCACCAAGATGGTGGGGTACATGGAAACCAAGCCCGAGGAGGAAAGACTCAAAACAAATTGGGAAGGTTCACTTGCTGGAGACATAACTGAGGGCTGGTGGTGGTCTTTGAAGAGCTATCATGTAGAGTAGACTGTGGACCTGTTCTCTATCAGAGCAAGACCAGAACTCTGGAAGTTGACATTTCTAGGAAGTAGACTCAGGTGAAATAGAAGGAGGGATTTCCTAACATTGGGAGGTCTCCTGGCTAAAGTGGGCCTTCTACTAGAGATCATCCAGTAGAGTCTGGAAAGCCGAAGGATTTCAGTGGATCTTGCAAAGGGTTAGATGAGTTGTGTATCTGTGTCTGTAAGGGTGGGGAAGGAGGAGGAGGAGGAGGAGGGAGAGGAAGAGGGAGGAGGAGGAAGAAGGAGGGGAGTACAAGGACGAGAAAGAAGGAGGAAGAGGAAGGAGGAGGGCGAGGAGGAGAAAGAGGAAGGAGGAGAGGGGGAGGGGAAGGAGGAGGAGGAGGAGGAAGGTGGAGGAGGAGAAGATTACTTACCAAAGGATCCTTAAAATACATTAATCTTCTGTCGTCCATGGTAAACCAGCGTTTTTTGAACCCTTCTGTTTGCTAAAAGGGAAGACGTGGAAAAGAAAACTTTTATTAACAAACCAATGACAAGTTTATATAAAATACAAGGTAGATGTTTTTAGTTTTTAGTTTGCTTCTTAATTTATACTTTTTAATTTTTTTTTAACATTTGTTTTTAACGTTAAAGATCGTCTTGTTAATTGCACGTGTGGGAACTAACTAAATTATTTTTTTTTAAAAAGAAGACAAAAGAAAAAACTCAGCACTTATGTTGCTTATTTCAATCTTCTTCGGACCAGATAAAGAGGAGGCGAAGGGTTAAGCTCACGACTTGTGGAGCCGTAGTTTGCCAAAATAAGAGTTTATTAAAGAAGTCGCAATTTGGCTGGATTCCCAGGTTATAAAAAGCCTACAAGTATGGCTTATTTGTGTCCGTGTATTCAGGCAATACGCAGAGCTACGACCAAACAGATTACAGGTTCAAATTCCAGCTACGATAACCAGGCAGTAATAATTATTCTTCCAGTTTATCTACTTTTTTTGAAAAAAGGCAGAATACAATGCTGGCCACAGAATCCAGATTCCTAAACACAGCCACATACATATCTTTTTTTTTAAAAAAAATTACAAGTTTCTAGTCCCTATGGCAAAGTTCTGGAAGTGTGTGGGTCACGCGTGCCTCAATCCTAACAGCTGGGGAAATGATTTTCATGTGTTTTCCTATTTTGAACGAAGCAGAAATGTTGAATATTGAAACATAAGCCTAAAACCCCTGCCTTCCTTTGGAGTCTCTGCCACACTCTGATATTTTAATTTCCCGTGGGATACCGAGAAAGGGCGGAGGGGGCGAACTGTCTTGCAAAACCAACGTATAATTTAGATTATGCTGATTGGATTAAATTATTAGCCGCGACAATGCCAATCCATAGAAACCTCTTTTTTTTCTTTTTCTTTTAAAAGACAGCTCCAGTTAAAACCTGACGCAAACCTTAGGCTTATTTAAATGTGTATTTAATGAATTGGTTAAGCACACAGACAGAGGGGCTTGATTAAAACTCTCCTGGGCTCACAGCAACAAGAAAGTAATTAATTTCTTGGTTCTCCTTAATTAGGAGAGAGAGAAACAGCAACTGCACAGAAAAAGGAATAAAGTTTGCTTTCTCTTCCAGAAGCCAACCGAAGAGCACAGAACCCAGATGAAATATTCTTCTGGAACTGGTGAAATCCAGGTTAAAATCCCCAATTTTTCTGCTTAACCAACCCTGCAAGGTTGTTGTAAGGATCAAAAAAATATGATCCATAGATTTTGGGGAAAAGATAACAGCTTATAATAATAAATGCAGGCACACCAATCCTCCCCAGGCATGTTATATCTCCATTCTGAATTTGGAAAGCACAATATAGTTGTAATCTTGATCAAGAGTGGGGAGCACGAGACGGTCTCCTCCTCCCATCCAAAGACGTTTTAGCCAGCCAAATTCCCAAATAGGTGGCATTTTTCACTCTGCTATTATGGGATGGTCTATTAGGAGACATTCAGCTGTCCGTCGCACAGCGAAATCACTTGGTCATTTTTAAGAAAGCTACCCACCGACAGCCTCCATTTCAAGAGAGAGATCCACAAACGTCCTATTGTGGGGTTCACGATACATGTGAAATATGAGCTTTCTAGTGCAAGCTAAAGTCACAAATCAAATTCCCTTTGAACATGATAAGAGACCTTTTTTTAGACTTTCAATAGATTTTTCGGGCTCTCCTAGCCAAAGCATACAAGCCCAATGGAAGTATTTCAACCATCTCTTTATAGTTCACAACTTAACATGCTGCGGAGCAGAACTGGCGGAAACATTCAAATGAAGGCCATTAAAAAAAACCCCTTGAAATGTAATCCAGACCGCCACGATTCATGCATAACATATTAAAGATGATCAGGATTTATACGTCGCTTTGTTTTCCTGGCCAACAGCAGGAACCATAAATTGTAAAATTACATTTGACCTAAAAGATGAGATTCAGCTTACTTTGGGCCCAGTTTTCTCCATGTAGCCTTCCTTCAGATAATTCCTGGAAAGCTTTGGCACCAGCTAGAAGATTCAAATGATAGAAGAGGAAAGGAGATCAGAAGATAGCGGGACAACCTGCCTCCAGAAGTTGTGGGTGCTCCAACAATGGAAGTTTTTAAGAAGAGACCGGACAGCCATTTGTCTAAAATGGTATAGGGTTTCCTGCCTGAGCAGGGGGTTGGACTAGAAGACCTCCAAGGTCCCTCCCAACTTTATTATTATTATTATAGAAATACTAGCATCAGTGCAGAAATGAAGCAGCAGGGAGAATAAAATCACATAAGCCTCCCCTCCCCCAAAATAAGTCCTTATCCATCAATTGTTGCAGCAAGAAAATAAAAGAAGGAAAGCTTGCTTGTAGAGTGCATATTTGGCACAAATAAAGAGACCTTAGGTCAGTATTTCTCAGTCATAGGAACTTTGAGATGTGTGGACTTCAGCTCCCAGAATTCTCAGCCATGTTGGCCTGGCCTTCCTTGGGAATTCTGGGAGTTGGAAGCCCACACGCCCTGGAAGTTGCCAAGTTTGAGAAGCACGGGTATCCATAATTCCAGAGAACAGCAAGAAGGAAGAATGAACACTGAGCTCACATCGGTGTCGCTGGCTCCAGGGAACGCCACTTGCAAGTAATGGAATCGGGCTGCACGGATGGCGTTGAACCAGTCCACCATTTCCTGAAGAGCAAGGAAGATAGCGGTGTAAATAAATGTGTAACAATGCACACTTCAGGGGCACTTTCTATGATTCTTCCTGGAGCTGTTTGGGGTTGGCTTTTAAATGCAGCTCTTGCTGGGATTACTAGCTCCGATTGCCCCAGGCTCCATCAGAGCCTCTGCTTTCAGTATGAGTCTGCACAGGTTCAATTCTTTCAATCGCAGTTTGTCTGCATTCTTTGTTAAACGGGGCTTATTTTTTATTGACATAAAACATCTGCTCATCTTATCACCAACTTTGGGCAGCTCAGCTTACAAACCGCAGCCACTCGTCACCAAAGAATTGTTGCTGGTTTTAGATCTAAATTTTCTAATCTCTAATTTTCATCTACTCTCTAACGGCTGGGTTTCTGCCAGCCATCTCATGCTGTGTTGTTTTAAAAAAAAGATATGACAGAAATAATAGTGAGTTTCAAATTAATTTCAAGAGTTTCAGGAAGGGGAAGAATCTTATCCTGTGATAAGATAGGCAGCCAATAAATTGGATAGATAGATGGATGGATGGATGGATGGATAGATGATAGATAGATAGATAGATAGATAGATAGATAGATAGATAGATAGATAGATAGATAGATAGATAGATAGATGATAAACAAATAATGGATATAGATAGATGAGAGAGAGAGAGACTGGTAGATAGATGATAGATGATAGAGAGATAAATAGATAAAATAGGTAGGTAGGTAGGTAGATAGGTAGGTAGGTAGAGATAGATAGATAGATAGATAGATGGATGGATGGATGGATAGATAGATAGATAGATAGATAGATAGATAGATAGATAGATAGATAGATAGATAGATAGATAGATAGATAGATAGATGATAGATAGATAGATAGATAGATAGATAGATAGATAGATAGATAGATAGATAGATAGATAGATATACTGTAGATAGATGATTGACAGAAAGAGAGATACCGGAAGATAAATGATAGATGATAGAGATGATAGAGATAGATGATAGAGATAGATAGATGATAAATATAGACAGACAAATGATAAAGAGACATATAGAGATATAAATACAGAGAGACAGATGATAGACGATAGATAGATATAGATAGATAAGAAGTCAAAGTGAAGGACAACACTGGGTGGACAATTGTCTTCTTGGCCATTATCTGGAGTCACCCCTGGTGTCACCACAAGTCGGAAGGGATGCACAAAGACACGCAGGCACACACACACTTCTGCTGCTCTTTTCGGCAGCATGCAAACCAACTCTGGCAGCTGCTTCCTTCCTTACTTCGGGGCCCCCACCTTGCCATCTTCATGGTAGACAAAGATATTCCTTGTGCTGTTGTCTTTCAGGTAGGTGATCTGCAGCCCGTGGGGGTTTCCAATTTTCTCGGGCTGGAAAGTGGCGTTGAGGTGCTCAATTTTCATGATCGCTTTGGGTTCTTTGGCCTGACGAGGAAAGACCACAAACAACACGTAACCCGCCACTACAGTGTTTGAGGGCTTCACTATATCTGTGACATAACCTGGTACAGAGGTACCCCCACTCCAGATGAAATTGGGAGAACTAATTTTGTAATCCATCAGGAATTAACATAAACTGAAGCGTCCAACCTTGGCAGCTTTAAGACCTGCGGGCTTCAACTCCCAGAATCCCCCGGCACATTCGGTAAAACCCAGAAGAAATATGGGAGATCGGTGGACAGATTCCCCCAGACAGATTAAGTTGCTTCTGTTTTTAATTACAATTGACCTCAGCAATGCAGAGTCTTTTAAACTTTCCAAGAAAAGGGTCATTTAAAGAGAAATTTCAGATGGAGCATTATGAGTTCCCTCTTCCTCAGACATAATGCTCTTTTGATTCCAAACGTGCATTAAACACCTGTTTGCTCTGAGTTCTGGCTCCAGATCTCCAGATGGTCCATAGCAACCATGAAGTCACAATCCTCGTTTCTTTGCCAACCAAGGGAAAGAGTTGATCAAATCTGGCAGCCTTAAGATGTGTAGACTTCAGTTGCTAGCATGCTGGCTGAGGAATTCTGGGAGTTGAAGTCTACACATTTTAGAGTTGCCAAGGTCAAAAAACACCACACTGGAACATCTCCGATGGAAGGCCATCTAGAAGGAAAGGTCTATCCCAGTGTTTCTCAAACTCGGTAACTAGATATGTGGACTTCCACTCCCAGAATTCCCCAGCTAGCATCATGGCTGGTGCTGTCCAAGGTCCTGATAGCTCCTCACATTTCGAAAAAGGACAACTGCTCCTTCCCACGGAGTGTGCAACTTGGGAAGGAAGCACGGAGTGGCAAGATTGATCTGGGATATAGTAACCCAATTTGGGGGCGGGGGTTCGAGTGATTGACACTGTGTGGAGTTGGTTTTGTTCTGGACTAAATTTATCCTCCTTGGAGTTAGCTGGTAGGATCTGTTGATCTTTTTTTGGCATTCCCCCAAGAGACAAACCCCTGATTCCCCACTAACTCATTCCCAAGTTAGTACAAGGCCTTGTAAGTACTTAGGAGCAGAGCCTTATTCTCAGGTCCTCCCAGAATATAATGTACCATATAATTAATTAAAATCTACAAATGAGAGACTGGGCAGATTCCCCTAATTTTCCCTGCAAGGCCCATTTTTCAAAAGAGGGCCTGCTCCACCCCCAACCACTCTCATCCCTCTTACATCGTTTCTGTTGTAATACTTCAGGGCTCCTTCCCGTTCTGAAAGGACAAATTTTCTGCTGAGAAACTGCCCATTGTCGCGTCCTCTCTTCCACAGATATCCTTCCCGATAGCCTACGGAGAAACAGCAAGAAAAAGCAGGGATTTATACTGAAAGCAAAATGGCTATTTTGTGAAAAAGGTGAAAACCTAGATTGTTCCTTGGTGACAGCTTATCCAGAATCTCCTTGTGGAGATAAAAGGTCCAACCTCTGCTTTACTACGGCAAGATTCTGTCTGTAGGCGAACCATGATAAAGAAACAGCTCAGAAGGAACTCGAAGTGTCGTTCCTGAGTATTTGTTCATCTAACACAGAAATAGCTGAACGAGACCTCGGGACCTCTTTAAAATCTAGCAGATTTGATAACTCCTGCAAAATCCAGTTGGAATGGAACATGTTCTGTCTGGACTGGTTTCTGGCATGACGTGGACCAGTGCCGGTCCACAGATCAGGGGTTGGGGACCCCTGCTTTAGAAGGAAGGGCAGATGGATCTACTTCTGGAGTCCTCGGTGCAACTGAGAAGGAAAACGAGAGTTTGTACGTTCCGTCTTGAGACAAGGAGGAGTGAGAAATGGCAAAGTTCTCATGAGGACACCATGAAAGCTGTTGTGTGTGTTGCCCCCCCAAAAAAACGCCTCCTTACCCACGAGCCCAGCTTTGCAACCGCCACGTTCCCAGCTGTACCGCTTCCACCACACACCCACTGTTTCATTAACAACAATGCTATTGTTGAGCTCTGCGTAGAATGAAGGATTGATGGGCAGGCCTGAAAGAGACTTATTTTATGCCTTTTCCCTTGGAGTCCAGAAGAAAAAAGGCCCTTGTGTAGCTTTTGTGTTTCGCATCATGAGCACTAAACATCTTCTTTTCAGCTTCCACACCTCAGCCCGGATCTTTTAAACGGTTCCATCAGGACCGTGATGTCCATGCCAGCCTCTGGGGAGAACGCACAACTCACTGCTGGAATATACCCTCCACCTTCAGGAAGTATTAATTTGAAGTCGCCGGTATTCTCCAAATCCTGGAAACTCAATTTCTTCCCTTCAAATGCTAGGGATCTTCTTGCTTTTCAGATATTGTTGGACTCCAGTTCCCATTGTCCCCACCTGACACGGCCCATGATTTACGGTCATGGGAGACATAACCCAATAATCTCTAGAGTAGGCGATTACCGATTTCTCACCCTTGAGTTAGAAGAATTCAGGAAAGTCTTCCTGGCCAAAATCTCTGGGAGGACCACCTACACAAACCTGGCCTCTTCAAAAGCCACAAACCCTGGTTTAACCTACACAAACCTGGCCTCTTCAAAAGCCACGAACCCTGGTCTGTTGATCATGGCTTGTTTTGGGTGCATCCTCAAAGGCAGGGACAGCAAGGAGAACAGATTGTTCTGCGATTTATGAAGCCGTAGCATTTAGCTTCGTGTGTGTCCTGCTAGCACCGTTTATGTCTCCTCTCGTTCATCATATTATGACTTCTGCTGCTTTGGCTGTTCTCTAGCTAACATGTTCCCCTCCTCTCTCTCTCTCTCTCTCTCCCTTCTGCAAGAGTTTTTTGCTTTCCCTTGTAAGGAAGGGGTGCCAGTGTTTCTGCACACGGTGCCAAGGCCAAGGGATCAGGAAGCAAAGAGCTTCCCTGTTGCAGTCGCAAATCGAAAGCAGGCTGGCTGCGCTAATAGGAATTCCAACACTGGAAGCGTTTAAGAGACTGGACAACCCCTTGTCTGAAATGGTCTAGGGTTTCCTGCCCTGAGCTGGGGGTTGGACTAGAAGACCTCCAAGGCCCCTTCCAACTCTGTCATTCTCTTAAGGTCTGCCCCCCAAAGCACAATTTCAGCCCATTGAAATTCTGGTTAATATGCGCGGCAGGAGGAAAGTCAGAAAACATCAGCTCGAGAAAGCTTATTGCCTTGTAATAAAATTTATTAGCCTTTTAAAAAAAAACACCTTCCTGGTGCTTTTGTTAATGAAGTGTCATGCTCACACAAAACCAGTATTTCTCAGGCATCAGAAGACCTTGTACTTTATCTCAACGGGGTGTGTATTGGCATTTCCCCAAAGGAGCCACGGTGTTATTTCTTTGTATTTCTTTGTAGCTTGCCTTTATTATTTTCATGAAGTACTCAAGGCGGTGATCACATCCAACACACCTGTTTTCCCCACAACAACAATCTTGTGAGGTGGGTTGGGCAGAGAGAGAGGGACTGGCTCAAAGTCGCCCAGCGGCTTTCATAAGTAAGGTTGGACTAGAACTCACCGTCTCCTGGTGATTGGCCCAAAGTCACCCAGCTGCCTTTCATGGCTAAGGCAGGACTAGAACTCACAGTCTCCTGCTTCCTAGTCTGGTGCCTTAACCAATAGACTAAATTGGTTCTCTTAACTTTTAAGTCTGACTTAAGTTTATGTTAGGCATTCCCAGCAAGCCTGTAGTTTATTTCCACCATACACACAGGCCAATCTCTCAAACATTCACAGGTAGAATGAAACAAACAAAGAAACAATCAGTTTCAGAATGAGTACGTGTCTTACTCATTTTAGGACAGCCCTGAACGCATACCAATTGTGGCTTGCTTTTGAACAAGCGGTCCACATCCTTTTTGGCCAGCTAAAAATAAATCAAATTACTCAGGTCTCTTTAGAAAGCATGAACGGTGTACTGACTTTAGCCCTTGTTTCTTTTCTTTCTTTTTTTTAGGAAATCGCTCTGTGCACACCTGTATGGCAAAAGCATCAGCTGGAATACAAGCCAGACCACAACATTAGCAGGTTGAGAAACACCAATTTAACCGGTGAAGTATGAACAAACTGACACGTAAAATCGGGGTTTGATGTAATCCTTGCTCACAATAATCAGTTTCTCAGTTTTGGACCAAACACAGAACTATAGTTAAAAGTGGAAGCAAATATGCTGAAAGTTTTTCTCCCCCCCCCCCCCGAGGCTTAAGTCAATAAGAACTTTGAACAGTAAATATTTGCATTTCTACTAACAAAAAAAACTTTCTCCATTACCTGCAGAGTAAGGCTCTTGTTTTTCAGTGTAAATGAATTCTTCCCTTTCGTATTTAGCCCTGATCCATTGTTCTCGTAACAGTCTGATTAAAAAGAAACAAAGAAGAAAATCTGAAAAAGGATTTATTTAAAAAGCACGGCAATGATTAATTAATTTTTCATGCAAGGCAATATCCTCCAGCGATACACCTGCGCTCACAATTCAGCCCAAAATTTCCTTTGCTAAACAAGGCAGTTAATTGAGTTTTGCCTCATTTTACCATCTTTCTTCCACTGTAGTTGTTAAGTTAGTAATATGGTTGTTAAGTAAACTTCGCTTGTCAGAAGGTCATCAAAGGGAAAATCACATGACCCTGGGACACGGCCAACCATCATAAGTACATGTCAGTTGCCAAGCATCTGAATGTTGATCATGTGATCAATTTAGAAATTGTTCTCAGGGAAAATATCATTCCCAGGCTGGAGGATTAGAAGTTCTGGAGATGTTTTTTTTTTTCCCAGGAAGACCAAGGATGGAGAAAGAATCAAAACAATTTCTTTGTCTCAAAGGGGAAAAAGCACCTCTGGGACATCCGTGACCTGGATGAGTGAGAATCTCCACAGACAAAACAAAGCGAACATGAGACGTGAATTGGGGCTTGGAAGAGAGAATTGCAAGCCAGACGTCCATGCGCACCAGAGCAATCAATGTGGGGACCCTGACAGATGTAGAAAACCAGGAAGAAGAGCAAAAGAGTTCAAAAATACTGCAAAAGAAGAAAGAATCTCAATATTTTTTTCCATTCTTTTCACATCTCATGGAACTCGCTGGTTCTACAGATCACCTAATGTAGCATTATACACTTAATCAACGTGCGATAAATTCCATAATTTACGTTTTGCCCCCTTCGTACTTAAAACACTTTTTTTTTCTTTTTGTACCAAATAGTTTAACCCCTGGAAGGGTTTTTCATAGCAACAAATAATGCAATGAGTTACCTAAAACAAAACAAAACAAACAAAAGAAAAAAAAGGCATTTTTTTCATCAATAACATCCAAGACCTGAGAAAGTAATCCAATTGCAATTTTATGCAAGCCACAGACAACGGCTTTTTCAAGAATTTCCAATCCATCAAATTTCACTGTAGTTAAAAAAACACACACACACACACAGCCAAAAGCAGCCTTCGGAATGAAGATTATAGTCACTCTGCGTGCATGGAAGCTATTTCTCCCCAAAATGCTTGAGCAAAAAGGTGGAATACTTACAGACAGTCCAAAAAAGTTGGCTTATAATAAAAGGGTGGGATTTTTGATTCGTATTTAGCTTTGGAGACGGTGTTCCCCGTAGAAGCCATGAACTGCAAATGAACAGATTTAAAAAAACTTTAAAAAAAAGTCCATTATTAATTCATTCAATTGACCAAAAGCAATCTAGACAGCATTTCCCTTCCAATTACAGACCTATCTGATGATCTGTTTAGCTTCAGCATATAAAGCTAGTTCTCGACCTACCAGGAGAATGCCTGTTGCAAAACAAGGCAGGTTGTTAAGTGTGACTCCTGCCCGATTTTACGTCTGCAGTTATTAATTGATTTATGTAGTCCTTAAGCAAATTCGGCTTCCCCTGTTGACTTTGATTGTCAGAAGCCAGTTAGGAAGGTCTCCAAAGGTGACCCCATGACCCTGGGACACCGCGACCGTCATAAATACATGCCAGTGGCCAAGTGCCAGAAATTGAATCATATGATTGTGGAGGATGCTGCTACCGTTGTGAGAGGCCTGATTGTGGATCCCCTTTTTCAGTTGCATCCAGATCTACCGCTACTAAATAAATGGTTATAAGTCGAGAAACTAACTTTAGCTGGGATCCCAAAGGTGCTTTTTCACGAGGCAACTGGACTTTTTCTTTTTTAAGAATAAGGAGAATAAGAATAGAATAGAGCTGGAAGGGACCTTGGAGGTCTTCTAGTCTAGCCCCCTGCTCAAGCAGGAGAACCTATACTGTCTCAGACAGGTGACTGCCCAGTCTCTTCTTAAAAATCCCCAATGATGGAGCACCCATTATTTCTGGAGGCAAGATTGGTTGATTGTCCTCACTGTCCTCACTGTCCTCACTGTCAGGAAGTTTCTCCTTAATTCCAGGTTGCTTCTCTCTTTGATCAGTTTCCAACCGTTGTTTCTCGTCCTTCCCTCTGGTGCTTTGGTGAACAACCTGACCCCCTCTGCCTTGTGGCAGCCCCTCAAATACTGGAACGCTGCTATCATGTCTCCCCTATTTCTTCTTTTCTTTGAAGATGGTGGGGAATCCAGTCAGAGCTGAAGAAGCTTCTTGGATGAGAAGCAAAATGTCTTCAAAGAAAAACAAGAAAGTCCAGTTGCCTCTTGAAAAAGCACCTTTGGGACAACCATGACCTGGACGATTGAGAATCTCTTATAGCCCTACAGTTGGGATCACAGACGGGACCGTGGATGGTGTCTCTCACCCCGTAACATTTTGCTGCAGATCCCTTCCAATCGGTGGATCCCCCCCGTTACCCGACTCTCGCCCAATGATTTAACTCCGCTTGCTTCTAAGAACCGGTTACCTCAATTTGCGCCGAGTCCCATTCATCCATCCGGACGGATTTCACCTTGCTGATCTGGGGGATGTTGCGATGGATCCCTGAACAATTTAAGCAAATGAACACCCCCAAAGTGTGAGACGCCCAGTCTGGATCTGCAGAGATAAACAAGCATTGGGAGAAGAAACAAGCATTGCGGTGTAAGTCGGGGGGAAAAAATAAAATCGGCGCTAAGAGGAAGGAAACTTGGCGATTATTTTAGGCAGCCTTATAAGCATCGTGTAATATATGACATCATTGCTAAGTTGTCACTCAAGATGGTTCTCAGATCATAATCAGTTGTTTTGCCGGGTGGTTCCTGGTTTGTTATTGCTGTTATCTACACATCCAACAAATACAGGTAGCCCTTGACTTGCAGCTGTTCATTTAGTGACTGTTCAAACTTATAACGGCACTGAAAAAAGTGAGTTAGGACCGTTTTTCTCACTGACGGCCTTTGCAGCATCCCCACGGTCATGTGATCAAAATTCAGAGGCTTGGCAACTGACTTGAACCTACGACAGTTGCAGCATCCTGGAATCTCCTTTTGCGACCTCCTGACAAGCAAAGTCAACGGGGAATCCCGATCCACTTAACAATGGTGTTGCTAGCTTATCAACTGCAGTGATTTTCTTAACAACAGTGACAACAAGGGTCATAAAATGGGACAAAAAATCACTTTAAAAATGTCTCATTTAACAACTGAAATTTTGGGCTCGGGTGTGGTCGTAAATGGGGGACTATCTGTATCACACTTGAGAAAGGATGTTTTGATTCTAAATAAGAGTTTAGGAATCATGTTATTATTATAAGAGATAGGAAGTTCCCGGGAAATGGCAGCTGTTGGGAAATGAGATACAGGTATCTTGAGGTCCTTGTTTAGTGACTGCTTCGTTTAGTGACCACTTGCAAGTATGACAGTGATGAAAAAGTACTTTGCAACCAAACTGCACACTTAAAGCCAAGGAACGCTGAAATCAGATCATAAGCACCGTCCAATTTTCACTTAGGGACCGCTTTGCTTAACAACTGAATTGCCAGCCCCAGTTGGGGGTCACTAAATGAGACTGCTTCACACGCTGCAAAAACTGAACAGCAGAAGGAGGGGGGGGGGACAAACATGAAGTGCCAAGTTCAATAATCAAGAGTTTTCTTCGGTCCTTCCTCACATTTCCTGGGAAAGCTAGGATAAAACCCAGGACCATTTTTTTTTTTTTGCATGCCAAAAATATGCCAGGTTCCCAAGCTGCACTTCCCTGAAATTAAAGCACGATTCTAGACCTCATGATTCTGTGCAAAGAATTGATTCGCCTGTGAACCGCCTAAGCTGCCATCACCAGCAAACTGACAAGCATCTAGTAATGTGTTTATTACATATAAATCTGTGCAATAACGCTATCCCATGTTTGTGCAGGTGTTTTGCACAGAGTCAGAAAAGGGGCATATATGATTTGGCATTTGGAAAAGAGACTTCATTGGCAGTTTTACTACAAAGCCGAGCAGAAAGGTGGGGGCAGCAGAGTAATCCCTGCAGGCTGCATTGGGGGTTGAATTCCCCCCCCCNCCCCCCCCTAATTGCCTTGCCTGCCTTGGCAACTTTGGCTGAGTTAGTCGCGGAGGGAAGAAACCCAGGGGAGGGTCTTTCTTGCCCCACACACACACAATCCCCCCCCCAGGATCTAGGGAGGGTGGGGTCCTCTGCTTTTCTTGGGGGAAGGCAACCCACGCTTTTCATCCCGTCACACCCCCCCTCTCTCTCTCTCCCCTTGGGGACCCCCTTCCTTCCCATAGCCCCCCCCCGCCGCGCCCCACGCCCGGTTCCTCTTCCCACCCCTCTTCCCAGAACCCAGAAACAGCGGGTGGGGAAACTGAGGCCGACAGGGAGAGGAAGCGCTTCCCTCCCTAAAAAAAAAAAAAAAGCACTCCCAGACCCCTGCGCCCACTGCTCGGGGGAGGGAGAGAAGACCACGCAGCCAGCCAGCCAGCCAGCCAGCCAGCCAGGCCCCCCCAGCCCCATCCATTCCACTTAGAGAGAGGAGAGAGGGGAAGCCAGGGGGAGGGGGTTATTCCCCCCCCTCCGCCCTTGCAGGCAAAGCGGGTCCCTGGAGGCATGCACCTGCCTGAGCCAGGGAGGGGGGAGACGACGCCCCCCCTCCCTCCCACCCACCCCCAAGGACCCCCGCCCCCCCCTCCCCATCTCACTCACCGCTAGCCTGGCAGTCGGCGCACCGGCCGTTCCCCTCGCTTGGCAGCAATTCCAGCAGCGCCGTTTTGTTCCTCTCCTTCGCCATGGCGGGCTGGGGGTTTGGGGAGTCTGGGTGGGGGGGAGTGTCGAGTCGGGGTGGGGGGTTGGGGGGTCGAGCGCCTTGGGGTCCTGGGGAAAGAGGGGGGGCAGAGATCGCCTCCCTCTCCTCCGCCCTGCCCGCTTCGCCTTTGCCCTAGTGGGTCTCCAGGGCGCCTCCCCGCCTTCTTAGGGGAGGGGGGCTGCTTCATTCAGAAAGACCCCCCTACCCTCCTGGAGGGGCCCTGGGGAGCCGAGGGGGGAGGGCCAGGCGGGGTCCCTCGGCCTCCCGCCGGCTCAGCATCCCCCGGCCGGTGCCTGGGTGGGTGGGTGGGGGGGCTGTGGGGAAGGGAGGGGGGAGGTTCCGCACGCCTCCAGCCCCGAAGCGGAGCCAGCCAGCAAAAGAGAAAATTCAACCAACTCCGAGACTCGCCCCCCCCTACACACACACACACACACACACACACAC